GAAACAAACTTCTGTCTTGTTTACCTCTGATATGCTAATGAGCCGTTTAGTATTAAGGCTGCCACCCAAGTGCTAAAACCAAGGTTTTTTTTCCAGACACTGATTAAATGAGTAATAAAAAGTCATAAAAGGGTCATGTGTCTCATTGAGATGATCTTCTTCTGGTTGGGTCTGCCTCCTTCACAGTTGAAGATTCTTGCAGACTGATCATGCAGTATGTTGTGGTTATTCCGGCCTAATCAAAACCAAATTTTATTACCTTTGTGATTGTATTATCGTTTATCAATGGATAGCATTTATTCTTTAGGTGGTGACTTACTAATATTACAAATAGGATAATTGATATCATTACTCCATATGAAATATTCTCCAAAATTACTCATTCTGCATATTCATGTCTTTTACAAAGGCACTTGTAGCACACACAAAAGTATATAGGGCATCAAAATCAGCAATACCGGTATATCCAAACAATAAGTAGCACCTGCGATATATCCAGAAAACACTATTTGCATATTGTCAAAAGAATATCCCTGTGTTTCACATGGTTAGCCACTTTGATCAGTTGTGATAATACTAAACAAATGTATACAGTATCAGTTCCATGTTGTCACACTTGTAAAAGCACCAATTCAGTTTACAGCAGATCGTCAAGAATAATTATTCTTTAAAATAGAGACAAGATTGAAAGAAAGGATAGCGAAAGAAGATTAAATCAGCAAATATAGAACCCAGAATGTACTAAAGCTTCGTTAACCTCCAGATAGTATTAATCTGTCCATGAGCAAACATCCATGTCATAAAAACAATCAACCTTTACCACAAAGCAGATGGCAACAGAAATGTGATTGTTATTTTACTACTCAAGGTTGAGTACCGTACTATTTTAATTTCTTTACTGCAGCTTTTTTAAGGGTAATTTGTATAGCTAATAAATCTTCATAATTGACAGATTATGGCACATTTCATAAATTGATTGCTCTGTTTGTACATTGTATACTGAAATGTATTGATAAGTATCTGTGGAAGTAAAAAGTGCATTGAATGAACTTATCCCATACCTCAGCGAACAAATATGCCAATGGGCAACTTAGCAATGTAAATATTGCTTTTTATCTATTCCATAAACAAAATCATGTCTGTATGTAATTGAAAAGTATAGTTGTAAGTATTTAAATTATTTATCAATTTTGAGCAAGTTGTTTTGGCTGGTACTATAATCACATACAACAAGGATCAATATTGATATGTGCCTGATATACAAATTCAAATTCAAATTCAAGTTTATTGAAACAAATTCACAAGGTCAGATTATCATCATGGGATCTTAACTTCTAACTTTGTACCCCCCCCCCAAAAAAAAAACAAAAAAACAAAAAAACAAAAAAATAAACAGGGGCTTCATGTGTGCAAACCTTAAACAAAATAAAAATAGGACCTTTGCAAAAAAGTAAGCATTAAGCTCTGCTTTAACCCTGAATCAGGAGAATAATTTAACTGTTAAAATAGTCTCCGCACTGTTTTGTCTCAAACACAAGATTAAAATACAGAATGTGAACAGAGCCTTACAGTGAGCTTTGTATTCAGGAAATAGGAAGTGCCGGATTGGAGTGCTTTGTTTAGTTTCTGGCCTCTTTTCTCCCACCCGCCTAACAAACTATCTCTTTTTCTCTTTCCTCTCTCTAAAACCAATCTCATTTTGTGTCACGCACACAAATATAATCTCTCTCTCTTCTCTGCCTGTCTGTCTCTATCTGTCGGTCTGTCTGTCTGTCTGTTTCTCTATCTACATGTATCACTCGCTATGTCCATCTCTCACTATCTCTCACTATCTCTTTCTCTCACTATCTCTTTCTCTCACTATCTCTGTTCTCTCTCTATCTCTCGCTATCTCTATTCTTTCCCTTACACTTCCCTTCTCTGTCTCTTTATGAATGTGATATACATGTACTTGTAATTATTGCAATTTATGATGTTCAGATAACTAAAGTACATTCACCTGTTAGGGTGGTGAGAATTCAGCTCAAAGTTTAAGTTCTCACTTTTTTTATTATAAATTTGTTTTGAATTGTATCCCAATGTCTAACGTGTATTCTACAAAAAAGAATGTGAAAAGCAGTCAATTAAAATCCATCTATTATTCTGTTTTAAGTATTAATTGGCATTGTATTGTACCAGGTAGAAACAATATAAATCAAATCTAAGGGTATCCAATGTTTTGTGTATTAGGAATAGGAATTGTCCACTTTGTGATAATACTTTCTAGACCCATGGAACAAATTTAACATGCATTTTTTTATGGATCCTGGGACCCAAGATAAATATACCTTATGCCTTGGTCACAAATACCCTTACGGGCTGCTACGAACGCCGTACGAACGATTTGCAGACCATTTCGTAAGATCTTCTTAAGGCGGCCGTACGAAACAAGCGCTCGTAGACCGTTCGTAGACCGTTCGTAAGAACGCAGATTGGTCGATGGTCTTGTCCAAGATTTTTTTTAACATCGTACGAAACCCTCTCTTCGTAAGGCGGCAGTACGAACGCCGTAATTACATCGTAAGAACCACGCAAGATCTTCGCTCATTTTGTAAGATCGTGGGCCAATTTTAGAAGCTTCAAATAATTACGATGACCGTAAGAACGCCTCAAGTTGTTGATAGAGGGCTCTTACGGCGCTCGTAAGAACGCCTTACGATCGGAGATTCTTGTGGTCTTCGTACGAATGACTCCTGGCGTTCGTAAGAAGTTCGTAAGGTGCTCGTAAGGTGTACGTACACAATTTATGCAAATTTTGAGTTTTAACGGTTAGAGTTCGTCGAGGGTGCATCTCCTGTCGAAGAAATATGGGACCAAAGGGGAAATCTGTTAGAGGAAAGAGATGAGGAGGAAGAAGAAAGAGGAGGAGAGTGGCAACAGCAATATCAAGTAGAGGCGCCGGAAGTGGGGGGGGGGGGGGGGGGGCAGGGGGGCATTCGCCCCCCCCCTCCCACCCCTATAAAAAAACAGTAAAGGAGTATAGATGGTTTGTATTTTTTAACCAAACTTTATTTAATTAAATTAAATTAAATCATATTCCATTCAAAGAAAAGGAAAGTTAATAGGGATTAAATTTCGTATACATTCCGCTTGCTCCTACATTTTATCAATGGATGTTTTTATAATATATGCGATTTGCGCATATCGTGGAAATATTGTAAGAGGCTGGGAAAGTGTTTTTTTTTTTAATATTATAGTGGTGAGAAGACATGAGCTCCTGAACACTGGCGTACTAATGGGCAGGGGGTATTTCTAATTCGATACCAGTGATTTACAAACGTTGCTGAAATGACATGATTTTCCGGTATTTTTTCTCATTTTTTTGGTAAATCCTATCTTTTTATTCGTTTGAAAATTACTGATTCCCAAATTATCAGCTGGGCATAAAAATATGCTTATTTAGAAGCCTTCATGTTAGGGCCTGCAATACGGCGGGGCTCGGGGCTTGAGCCCCCCTCACTTTTTTAAAAAAGAGGAAAGGAAAGAACGAGTGAGAACAAAATGTGTGACCTACCAAGTGTCACAAATGAGATATCAAAATATGTTCATCTGACCGTAATTAGATGTCGAAAAGCTTTGAGCTTCCAGGGGTTCTGCCCCCTGGACCCCACCAAGGGCCCTAAGACAGCCCCTGGATGCTCATCTGACCGTAATTGAATACCTAATCCTTTGAGCTTCCAGGGGCTCTGCCCCCTGGACCCCACCAAGGGCCCTAAGGTGGGCCCCTGGATGCTCATCTGACCGTAATTGAATACCAATAACCCCTGAGCTTTCGTGGGCTCTGCTCCGTGGAATCCCCGACAATTAGTGACCTGCCAGTGACACAAATAAGATATCTAAATATGCTTATCTGACCGCAATTTAATGCCTAAAAACCATGACCTTCCGGGGGCTTAGTCCCTTGACCCCCGCCGGTGCAAAGCCCCCGGACCCCACGCCAATTTACGTTACGCTTGCTATACTCTAACCCAGTCGCGTACGCAGGGGGGGGGGTTAGGGGTGAACCCCCCCTCGAGTTTTTTGTATGTGTATGTTTTTTGTATGTTTTTTGTGAACCCCCCCCCCCCCCTTTTGATTTAAAAAAAAAAATAAATACAAAATTATGCCAATGGCTGACCTAAAAAAGGTGACCTTACCCCCCCCCCCCCCCCCAACCTAACAAAATGTCAAATTTTCTAATTTCGAGAACATTTCAAATTTGTCCTCTTACTTATTGACTTCTTCGGTTAACATGACTGCTTTTATAATAAAGGAAGTAACAGATATGCTAACAGCAAGTTCAAGAAACACTTTATGGAGTTGCAGTTGCAGTTGTAGTCTTCTTGGCAATACTGTCATCGTGTAATATCAAACTTTCAACAGTCATAGAATTTTCGACAGTATACGGCAGCGCTTTTTTTGCAACCCGACCAAATATAATTTTGTTTTCTTAAGCTCTTCGTACGAATGACTTGTGAATGCCGTGATTTAAACGTGCGACCACCTTACGAGAACAAAAACTCGTAAGATTGGCGTACGTCTGACGTAAGAAGAACACAAGGCGTTCTTACGAAAACGTACGAACTCTGGGGCCATTGTATAACCGAAAATCACTTCGTTTCTCAAGAAGGTCTTGAGTTGTTCTTGTGAATTAAACGGCGTTCGTACGAACTCCGTAAGAAACACGTAAGAATATATGCCCCATCTGCGAATCTCTACGAAATCTGAAATTCGTAGGAACAGGGAGATTCGTACGAACGAATCGTTCGTACGAACATTTGTGACCGTAGCATAAGGAACCCTTTTCAAGGGGTCAATAAAGGTAAGTTTGATTGGTAGGAGTGTAGTCTTACCATCCCTCAAAGTGAATAATTTTCTTTTCATTTGTACATATATTTTACGATTCTGCCGGTACATTTTTATTTAAGACCCACCCCCTCCCATATCATATTTTTCTTACTCTGTCTTTCTTGTAATCGCAGGGGTCAAGCCTTACTGAGCAGGCAGACATCAGCCGTGGGCCAGCTGCAGATGAAAGATGCCAGTGGGGCTAGTAGCCAAGGTAGGCGATGGTACAGGGCCGCACTATGCACGGAACTGGGCAAGCCACTCACCGTAGGAACACTGCCCTCTGTTGAGAAAGTCGGCCCTGGGAAGGTGATATTTGTTCAAGTGTTTCTGTAGTCCTCGTATTAGATTACTGGCATTGATTGTAAGATGGGGGATTATGCCCCAAACACCCCCTCTATATCTGTCTTCATAGAGTTATCCTCTAAAACTATATGAGACATTCAAATGTTGAACAGTTAATTTAAAGAATATAGATGGGAAAAGATGATTTTTATCTTGAAATTGCATTCCATGTGCACCAAATTTAATGTGATCACATTATTTGATATACTTACAAGTCATTTTTAAATAAAGAGTACAATTCTGAAATTTAAACTGGCAATACGTCTTTACAGTAGGTATTACTTAGAGCTTGCATATTCCAAATATAGGATACTAGAATGAATCCCTAAACATTCAAAGTGGTACCCATTGAAAAAATTACCACAATCTGCTAAAAACAAAACCATATTGTTGTCAGATATTAATTCTTCACCATATAAAACATGTTATCTTCAAATCCTAAGTGGTTCTTTTAGCAAAACTATGGGAATGAGAGAGTTCAACATATTAATTGTCATCATGCTTTTGATTAATTTTCACCTAAACTTTTAAGACTTTTATTCCTGTATAGGTCAAAATAGCGGTCCATAGTGTGGGGATTAACTTTGGTGACCTGTTGATGCTGGTAGGTCAGTACCAGGAGAAGCCGCCCCTTCCATTCTCACCCGGGTCAGAGGGCGCTGGTGTCGTCATGGAAGTTGGAGAAGGTGTGAAATCGGTGAAAAAGGTGTGTTTACATTTTGAAACATGACTTGTTTTCTTATACTACTCAGGGATGCCAGATTTCGGGCCTTGTCTCCACCCCATTTCAGGTTTGTTTCCAGGTTTCATTTGTTCATGTTGAGACTCAAACATGTCGAAGTATCTTTTCAAACTCGTCGGGTAAAAATAAAAATGGTATCCCTGACAACTGTAAATCCATGAACGGATGTATTAAATGTGCCTGAAACTTTTGCAGAAAGTCCACATTTGTGCAAGTTTATTTATTCTGCAAAACTAATGAATTGCAATTTTTTATATTCAAAAGGTCACAATAGTTTATCGCCACAAAAATGGCAATGATAGCAATATATTACAGTACAGGTTGCAATCATGTTTTGGTTCTACAGTTTAAGAGTACAATTGATATATAATGTATCTGTATAAAGACCCTATTAGGGATAAGATTTTACCCCCTTTGTCATACAAACTTATGATTTTGGCAACCACTATGATGCATTTTGTCTTACAGTGTATTATTTCTTTGAGTGTGATTGATGAAAAGCAAGATAATAGAAGTTGCCCAAAGAGTTTTTCTCTTTAGATTACAGTGAATTGGTGTAAAAAGCAAGTCATGAATGAAAAGTAGTTTAAATCGCTGGTCATGCTCTCAACTTCCTTAATTGTTTTCACTTTCTTTCTTCATATTAATAATAATAATAATAATAATAATAACTATTTCTTATATGGCGCTTTTCAGGAGGGCCCTATCAAAGCGCTTTACAGATATATATATTATTACCCCGGTCATCGGATTCGGGCTTAGCCGCACACAATGTATGCACATTCTCCACTCCCTGGGGAGCATTCCAGCCAGGCGTCATTCCGAAATAACATCAAAAATAATGTCCAAATGTCGATAACCAATTGAATATGTTGGGTATTGGCTGAGATATGACCATCTGAATGAATATATGTCCTATAGGAACTCAGTGTTATATTCTCTGGCTCCTAACCATTAGGAGCCAGAGCATATAACACTGAGTTCCTATGGGGAGTATATTTATTCAGATGGTCATATCTCAGCCAAAACTTAACATATTCTATTGGTTTTCGACATTTGGACATTATTTTTGATGTTCTTTCGGAAAATGAAGAAAAAATTGAGAAATTCTAAAAATAGATATTTATGACGTCACAGCTTCGGTACTCTATGCACCTGCTTATTCCTGCTTATTAACTTTGTTATTTTTATTATGTAATCGCAGACACATGCACAGCCCAATTGAGGTAACTTTCTCTTTATAAGTGAACATGCCTTCCTATACTTAATTCTCTCCTCATTTTTTCTTCTTTCTCTCTCTTCCATTTACTATTTTTTTCTTTCCTATCAACGTTCTGTTATATAAAATGTAATTTTCATAATAATACCTATAATGTTCTCTCGGTAACTGTGTTAATCTATTATGGGCGTTTCCAGGTTTTCACACCCTTCCGTATCTGAATTATTTACTGTATATTCTATGTTGAAATAATTGTTACATATATCATGTATATGTACATTGTGTTTCACATTGTACTGTTGAGAAGGAAATAAATGTTAATAAATACAAAATACAAAAATACTTACCTATACAGGAGAGCAGGGTATTCACCATGGTCTTCATAGCACCGCTATCAAACACATAGAACAATGCTCCATGATCCATCTTGGTCTCTATCTCCGGGATGGGCTAGGAGCCGACATGTGCCGTGACTCATGTGGGTCAGAACAATAGATCCTCTGGCAATTGGTATCATTTAAATCCCATGTTGAGTACAGATATCTTGTGCTGTTTTATTGAGTGTTACCCAAACACATGGAAGCTTAATTGAAATGTTTTTGGGTATGAAACGTAAAATATCTGAAATTAAATCCTCTTGTGGTGGGTATCATTTGAATTCCAAGACATAGACATGCCCGAGAGTGCAGTTTATTGAATTTTAAAACTGGCTACATCCATCCAGTATGTTCTGCATGACTGGAATCCTCAACAAAGATATAGATTAGAAGTGAGTTGCTCTTTTCCATTATCATGTCAGATGGATCTTGTTTATCAGTAGTGTCTATCGGTCGAGTTCCTTGTCCATAACGATCCCTGGAGACGAAGCGTGCTATATGAAAACTTGATGTTGGTAAATACAGATATTTTGCATTTGAAGCAATGTGTTATTTCCAACTCGCACATCAGATACTGTAATCTACCCTGTTAAACATAGAGAGTAGCTGCTGTGTTAAAGAAAACTTCCAAATCAAAGTTGCAAAAGTTGGAAAGAGATCAACTGCTCCCAGATGTCCAAAAACTTTTCCACGAACTATAATATGCAATCCTTCAACAATTAATGAATAACCTTCAAGAGCAGTTCCATTAGTTTTACGATGAAAGCATTGATCACATATTTAATTGATGTAAAAGTAAAACCAGGTTTGAAGTTCAATGGTAGTCCTGTGCCTCCCATGCTACTGGTTTCAAGAACTGACATTCTAAATAAAATGCTACCGAAATAACATCTGCAGATATTGAAATTGTGAATTCGTTTGATAAGAGGCCCAGAAGGAATGAACCGATCAAAGCTTGATGTATATTTCACCAGCGAATTGCAAATTTGGGGTGCCAACGGCTCAAGAGATCAAACATGGGTGTCACACTTTTTGCTCCTAGGGGAGGATTATGCAACTAAGCTCGACTGGATTTTTGGCGTAGGAAGGTTCAACACAGTCATCGAATCTGGGCAAAATTTCAATATTCCAGTATGTGTGCAATGAATCAACTGGTTTTTTTTTACTATGTAATCCAATCCTGGGGATCTGTAGAGATTGGATAATCTAGAGATAAATGGAAATTTAACTCTTATCTTGGCCTGGATAAGGGTTTTCCCTTTTTCAAGGGGGGCTCATGTTGATTTCTTGCAACACTTTGCACATCTTGGGTAATCTCTGCCTCGGCCTCAAGAAAGTTGTCTCATAGCAGCTTTGGGTGGTCGTTAGTACACTGAGTTCATAAGGTTCATTCTGAACTTACCCATTAAAATATCAAATATCATTTGAGTAATTGTGATGTTTATACTTCTAATGTAAGAAATGTTTGTAATTAGGTAAATCTTACCTACAAAACTAAAGTTGGTTTTATGTGAACAGGAAGGAAATTAATACACACAGTGTGATGATCGAGTATAAGTTGGTTTAGATCTATGAACAAAATATTGTCTAATATGTGTATGGTAAGGCAGAGTTTTAGGCCTACTAATGGTCAAGGGTTCAAAGTTCAGTTTCTTAATTTATTAATTTTAGATACAAATAAGGGTAAAATATATATCTGCAGAACTTTGCTCTGGAAAGCCTGCATTTTTTTTAAACATTTCATGAAAAACTAATTTCTTGTTCCTAAATTTTGTCAATTTTCAAAGTTACAATATTCTTTTCTCAACAAAACAAAGAAAGAAAAGATTCTTCCCATCAAATTTACTCTTTAGATGAATACTTTTTCATAGAATTACTATTCTCATAAATGGTTACAGACTTTTTTGTTGAATTAATAATGATAGATTTCAAATCAATGACACTTTCTAGAAATGTCTTTCACTCCGTATCACTTTCAGAAAAAAATTGTATTAAAGATTATTGTGCGTTTAGTGTTAAAAATGCGTTAGTCAGATTGCAGCCTTGGGTCACTGTCATGACATACTGACCATGAATCAAACTTTGATTACTACTCGTGTCAGCTAGACTGAGCATATGGGACAGGAACATCTTGCGTTGCAGGATGCCACTGGCTTCAATCAGAGTAAGGATTAGAATGACAAAATATATCATGAAGGGTTGGGTGAATAACTGTCAGATTGATTATATCACTTTCAATGATAGACCGAAAATCTTAACGGGCAGAAATCAATAAAACTTATCCCCCACTTATTGAGACAATGCACGGTATCTTTTTGACTATTGAGACACTTAGTTCTAAAAATTAATTCCTTAAAAACAAAATATTTGATAAAATATCAATGCTTCAAAAATATTTGTTTTGAGACATTGTTTTATTTGTCCTTGGATAATGTTCTTGGTTTTGGAGATGCGAAAGTCCAAGAATGAATTTTTTAAATAAACAAATTAATGATTAAAATTGCAATACATCAATGATATTTGATTGAGGCATTTTAACATCTGTCCTTGCATAGTTTGCTGTCTGTTGAGATACTAAAGTATATTAAGAAAATTAACAGAAACTCAAGGACTTGTTGTATCATTGTGAGAGATAGTGTGATAGTTATCTTTAGAGAGGTCTATTGGTTTTGAGATTCAGAAATCAAAGAACTACGGGTAAGTCATTCAAGAATTTACCATTTCCAAGACATTATTTGATTTATAGCTGGGTCAAGGATGTATAGAAATTATACTAGCTACATTTTTTCTTCCACTCTAGGACCCTTTCACTTTTATAACCAGATCAGGCCTCCATATCATGAAGTAAAAAATGACCTATGGTTACATTTGGCACCATTGTATCTAAATCTACTAGTAGAACAATAAAGGCTTGCCCAGTATGTTCAACTTGGAAATATGAATCATGAAGATGAACAAATGCAATATTTTGAAACGGTCATTTGATGTTTGTTCTGATCTCAAAGACGTATAGAAAAGGCTTGGGTAGCCCCTGGGTTCTACAGTAGGGTCAATGGAGGTTGTGAGGACTAGGCTAGGTATGATGTTGGGTCCAGGACTGAAGTTAGGAATTTGACTATTGTTAAATTTACCATGGAGCGATTATCACATGAGCATGGGTGGTACAATTGTTGGGACAACATTCTTCAAAAACTATAGTCATGGGCCACTTGTAGTTGCCATGTATGTTGTGGGATTTTTTCGGGCACAGGCATTGCATTGTGTCTATTATTAGTTGCAGTGACCTTAATATGAGATTGAAATTATTTTCCACTCAGTACAGAAGAGACCAGAGTTTGCGATTGATCAGAGGACTTGTGATAGATTTAAATCAAGTGCAACTCTTTAAAAGACAGCCCCCCTTTATGCAGAATGCCTCAAACAACAAGCATGTTTCGCAGATGATTACTATCCTGTTGATTCTTCTGAAATTCATTTAGTCTGTGTGTCCTTGTTGTCTTGTTTGATTATTCAAAACAAGTTCATCTCTGTAATAACCATGATAAATTGTCACTCCTGTTCATGTTGACACGTTGTTCTATTTATGGAGTCGCTATGGACACTGCTCTGTGTGAGGGCATTGGGTTGCGTGGCTGTGCATGCCCCTGCTAGGTCAGTGATGTGGGTGCCAGGTATCAAGGGCTCAAAGATGATGTCATCAAGTAAATCCCCTTTAATCTGAGCAAGGACAAGGGCCAGAGATCTTTATTTCTACCTCATGGCTGATTTGAGGCTTCCTTGCTGCTTTTGTAGCTCATACAGTAGAAACTCATGTGTATTAATTCTGTATGAACACGTCTGCTCAGAGCCAGAATGGCATTAAACTCTATGTACTAGTGTACTATGTACATGACAGAATAGATATGCTAACATCCTTCTGGTTCTCAACAAGCAGTATAGAGTTTAATCCTTTCTTTGTAATTAGCCCAAAATAAATGAATCATTTTTTTATTTATAGAATTTGTTAAAAATATATATATCAGGGAGAAAGATGTGTCATATGGTGTTGTATTCAAGTTGCATAGATGTTGTTTCTTCATATGAAGTTGTTTTAACTTTGTTTCATGCATGCAAAAGTTCCTGGTTTACAGTCTTGTTGTTTCTCTTCAAGTAATGTAACAATTCTTGTTTCTTTATTTTGTTTTCTGTTGATGTTTTAGGGTGATCATGTGGTAGCCTTGTCATCAAGAGCTGGAGCAATGGCTGAAGAGCTTATCACAAATGAAGGAGTAAGTATGATGGATTTGCAACTAAAGAAATAATTAAAATAGTATTTGAAGAAAAGCAGAAAAAACAGCAAACTAAAGCAAAAAAAAATTGTAATACTCACATTTTTCTTTTGGAATACTTTGTGCAAAATAAGAAAATAGGAGAAATCACTGAGCAAAAATTAAGAATTCAGCTTTTATTTGTTTGATTTTTGTTCTTATGACTTCTGGGCTCTGTATTACAAAGAGTTGATATTAATCACAATTATGTATATAAGAGATAGGAGATTGCAAACTTGCAAGTGATAAGAGGACTTGCGATTGATTCGGATCAATCGCAACTCTTTGTAAGACAGGGCCTAGAATATGTAGGTGTGCTTTAATACTAGTCTGCAAGCACAGACCCTAATTTGACACTTTATTAAAAACAATCATTGTGCCTTGAGAGAAGCCTAGCCCAGCTACCTACTGGTTGTGTCAATATTTCAGGAGCAGCTATAGCACATGACCTATGGTAGTCTCTGGGCGCGTTCATGCTTGATTTTAACGGCCAGAATCAGGCATCTGTTACGCATTTAGTTTAAAACACGATTGCGTTCATGCTCACTTTTGTAGAATCACCGAAAAATGGCGATCACGATCGCTGATCGTAAACTCACAAAAAGATGCGTTTACAATTTGTAAACTCGTTTAAATGGGGTCAACGCACTGACCGCTAGTGGGTCTACGTAGCATGCGCACACAGGTTTGCGAATCCAGCTGAAGGCCACCCAAGGAGAATTGCCTGGAGAAGTGAGCATGAACAGTGCACCGTGGAACTGCGATTATGATGAGCGTTTACGATGAGCGTTACAAATCGCTCATTCTGCCTTCAAAATCAAGCATGAACGCGCCCTTATAGTGCAGACTCTATTTATGACTGACCAAGGGTTTGTGCTTGCAGACTACTATAATACGATGATTACTGATATCCCTATTCTCGTTAATGGATGACAGTAACAACTTCTTGTAATCACAACTTACAAGTAATATGGAAATCACCACATAAAGTAATAGAATTATTGGCTTGAAGATAATTAAGTGCAGAATAGTAAGATGTTACATAGCATATTGGATGATGGTGGACATGTAAAGCATACACTAAAAATAGCTTACCTTTATTTCTCTGCAAAGTTATACAGTATATATAACAGCAAACAGCTGGGAATTGTAAACTATAGGTGGTAAATATGTTTGCATATATATATATATATATATATATATATCTTCTTTACATGTGAAAAGCACATCTCCATCATTGTAATAACAAATTATAATGTCATGTGTTTATTTCTATTGGCAATTACCTTATAAATGTATGATTGATGCAGCACCAGCATAAACACATTTTTCGTAAAATGAATGATCTTGTTTTATGTTTTTCCTTTAACTTGTCTCTTGACATTTAATTATATTCTAATGTACATCACTTATTGTGCCTCTTAGAATTCCAGAACTCCAATTAATACTTTGTTTAATTCACTTCTTTATTCATTCATTTATTTTGTGCTATGTAGCTACCCCATGACATACAGTGAAGTCACTTCTTTGTTCATAGCTCTTGCTATGCCCCTCAAACAGATAATGTTTATCTCTGTCACTGTTACCTTCTTAATCATCCCACCAAGGTCAACATTCTTTTCTTCATGAGAACATTAATGTCAAACGTTGGCATGGTTCCCTGCACTGATAAACAACCATATTGTTCAATACAATTGTCCTGCCAAGATGATGAACAGGTTTCTTTGTTTTCATGACACAATGATGAAAGTAGTCATATGGGCCTTGTCTTTCTGCTGACTTCAAACCTGGCTAGCTGTCAAGTTTATTCTTTATTTGTGTATTATATTCTTAAATTTTCATGTTGTAATCAAATGAATTTTGGATTTGATGGTTATGTGTGTGATGAGCTCAGCTAGTCTAGTTGTGTCAACGCTTTGTCCACATTAGATTAGCTTTAAAGATGCTACATATGAAATACCAGCTAGAAGACTGATCAACATTTTTAGATTAATTGAAATTAGATATTTTTTAACCTGTATCAAGAGGATTTTACTTTGTATTGATGGGGATATATAACAGAATGTGAAAGAGCCTGAATAGTGAAAGTTATGTGCGCTAGATCAAAGCATAGATCCATTTGAATGATGATCCGAATTGATTCTCAAGTTACAATGACATCAGTTCATCTTGTTTTTAATCCCTTACTCATGCTGTAATAAAAAAAACATTGAGCAATGATTCAATTCCTGCCTCTCTTTGTCTTCTACACTCTCTGTATTCCTGTCTATCCCCCCCTCTCTCTCTCTCTCTCTCTTGCTTCTTTCTCTCTCTTGTTTCTTTCTCTCTTTCTCTCTCTCTCTTGTTTCTTCTCTATCCCTCTCTTCCTCTCTCTGTCTTCTCATTCCCTTTCTTTTGGTCTCTCCCTCTCTCTCTTACTCTTTCACACTCTCTCCATCTCTCTCTCTCTCTTACTCTTTCACACTCTCTCCATCTCTCTCTCTCTACGCATTTCTCTCTTGCAGGAAGTATGGCCCATACCCAACAGCCTAAGTTTCAACGATGCGGCTGCAATCCCATGCAGCTTCGGCACAGCTTGGCTGGCTCTCACCCGGAAAGTCAATCTTCAGCCGGGGTGAGTGAGAGCAGTTTCTATATTTGTCACCAAAAAAACTGCATCGTTTCCGCAATCCCCTCTAATTAATGTTCATCTGCCTGCCAACTCAATCAATTTTCTGCTCTCGGACCCGGAGTATTGAGGTTGGGAATGAGCTAGGTGATCCGTTGTCCTAGAGGGCTATTGCAGGGATGCCTGCCCCACCCCTCTGAACATGTCAATCAATCAATAATATTCTTGGGGTGTATGTTTAATTGTACAGAATGCCTAATGGGTCAAGGTTGATATGTGTATAGAGTTGTTAATGTCAGGGGCAGAGAAAGATATCGGCTTAATCATGAACATGGTTTAGATTAATGTCTAATATTGTTGTTGTTCAGGAGATGATGATCAATTTGGCAGTGACGGGTAGGATCACATGTTACTTGCCAAGCAATTACTTGTTGTTGCTTGGAGACTCAAGTAATATCAGTAGTTTCACTTGTACATTGGGAAAGGTGGTAATAAAAATGTGTTCAATAATCAAGAGAGATATAACTGTCCGAAAAATTGTGGCTAATCTGAAGATCAACATCTCAATTGGCCATAATCATTAATCTTGCCTTAATCAGCTTGGAGAATAGCCAGAGGAAATAGATAGGCCCCCCTTATCACCTGGCACCAGGACCTTTTTGTTTGTTTGTTCGTTTGTTTGTGCAGCACCTTGTGATATCTACAGTTGCATTATTGAAACTCAGTTTGTAGATGATATAGGGGAGTTGGAAAATGGTTGTTTTACAAGTTGGGGAACTCGGTGAAGGATAATTGGTAGGCTTTTGAGTTATTTCACAAATAGTGTATTAAAATCAGATGACTTTATTTATACCTTAGTTACACCATGAACCTGACTCCAAACCGACTCCAGACTGATTTGTGGCCATTTGAGGTCATTTAATGTTATTGTCTCGTTAGTGTGACTGGGTCTTAGTGTATCAGGGTTACTTTTGTGAGAGTAAGGAAACACACTGAAAGCCTCAAATGATATTGGGTAAGAGAAAGAGGGAGACATATACCGAGGAGAGGAGAGTGTTAGGAGGAGGTAGCAGCAGCGAGAAAGAGATCCAATATGGAAGGAACCTAAAACGACCTGGAGAAAGAGGGAGATGTGAAGAAAGAGGCAGGAGAGAATGGAAGAAATGGGGGGATATAATAGAAACAGAATAAATATAATGGAAGGCATACTGAAAGAATCCTAGAAAAAAAGGAAAAAGAGAGGGGGGTAAAAAAAGAGGTGATCCAGTAAAATGAGAGAGGGAGAGAGAGGGATTGCATGTATAATAGATAGGGGATTTGAGAGAGGAAGTAGAAAGAAAGTAGGAAAATGAAAGCTTAAACATAAAGGGGCAAGAGAGAGAGAGGGGGAAGAAAAGAGTCACTAGAGAGAGGAGATGCGAGAGAAAGATAAAGAGATGTGGATTACTGTCTGTGGGCAGTACTTGATCAGAGGGGAAGTCATTCATTAGCTGAACTCTGATATATGGTGACAGTGTGATTTAAGAATCTGTCTGTCTGTTTTCAACTACACACGCAAACTCGGCACAACTGTTGCCAAAAAAGAGTCCCCCCTCCTTGTTTGCTTTCCAAAATAATTAGTCACCTTTTCTGTCCTAGAGGGGAAGAATCTGTGTTGTAGCATCCACCTCCTTTTCCCCCTGAATTCATTCCACTTACCTTGTAATTATTAGATGAAATCATTTTAATAGTTAATTTATTCAGAGTCACTGCTCGATTCATATAGGTTTAATTCTGTGCACTCAGTATAACCTTGTGTGAAAATATCTATTTTTTGCCTCTAAATCTCTCCTGCCTTGATCTTTGAAATGTAGTCATATTGGCTGATTAGTGCATGGGGGAAGGGTCTATCAGGGTAAATTAATATTCAAATTGATTATGCAAATATTTAATCCAAGGCAATCTAACCTTTGTAATAAGTTGATTTGTATGAAAGCAGAAAAATAACAGAAAGAGACTGGCAAAAGTTTGAAATGAATCGGGCCAATTGTAAGGAAGTTATGAATGTTTGAAATATGAGATCACTAAGTTTATGCGAATCTCAAATTGGTAGTTTTTTAAGTGGATTGTGGACGTGGATAACTCTCCCATTTGCAGTGTACAAAAATAGAATTAATTTCTGTTTTTCTTGTAAGTTCCTGCTCCCCTGGTGCACTACTCAAAATATATTATTGATAGCATATTATTATATTTTAAAACAAAATTAAATTTTAGTCATTTTGTATGTTGAAACAGATGGGAATGTAGTCCGGCCTTACATATTGATGTAACTATATAGACTATATATGACTGGCATACATGTATAAGCTTTATATAATTTCTTCTGTTGTTTCAGAGAAACTCTTTTAGTAACAGCTGCTGCAGGAGGTGTTGGTCTAGCTGCTGTGGAGTTGGCCACCAATGCTCTTGATGCTAAGGTAAAAATCCCTATGATTGACACAATGAATATTAAAGAAAAAATGCTATCACATATTTACCTATTTAATAGATGTAGAGAGATTACATGATCTCTTATTAACAACAACTCCTCTTACTACTTGTCTTCCCTCTGGCTCTAAAGGTTATAGGAGCAGCAGGGGGTCCTGAAAAGTGCGACCTAGTGCGATCCAAGGGAGCCGTAGAATGCATCGACTACACGACAGAGAACATTAGGGATAGGACCAAGGAGTTGACTGATGGGAATGGGGTCAATGTAGCGCTGGACGCAGTTGGAGGTGATGTCTGGAAACAGTGCTTGAAAAGGTGAGAAATTATTTTTCAAAGGAAGGCAGTGAGTGATTTCAGATTTCATTCACTTGTGATGTTCAATCTGGATTGTTTTTTTAGGTTACCAAACACATCATTTGTCACAATTTGAAAAAAATGGATTCACCAAAATTTCCTCTTAGCAGTACTCAACCCTTTCTTTAGATACTAAAATTGGAAAATATAATCAGAGTAATTTTGTGTATAGTTTTATGAGAAAGTATGGATGTTTTTGTCTCGGTTAACTCTCAATTTATGAATTCAGTCTTTATACGATATATCCATAGCCAGATGAGGAGAGGTAGAGACCATGTTTGCATACCTAAAGGAGCCCCAATAGTTCCCTCCTACATACAATCTCTATGAAAAGGGAGCTCCATGGATTTGACCTGTGAATGTGCATGCATATACGGGTCACAGCGTTCTCTCTCTACTAGCTTTGAATGTATCCCACCGCTGCCACCTGTTTAAGAAGTGCAATTCCCAGATTTATCAAAAACAAAATGCAATTTTAGACGAAATATGTCTGACAATAATAGACAGTAGTAGCATAAAGATATCTAGCTCTGGTAGCAAGAAGTAAATTAGAATGAAAGATATTGAATATCTCCTCATATTATCCCACTTGTGTCAATATTTTGCTTATTTTGTTTTCTAGTTTGGCATGGGAGGGTCGAGCTGTCGTGATTGGATTTGCCAGCGGAGAGATTCCAAAGATCCCTGCCAACCATCTTCTGTTGAAGAGTCTAACCACCACTGGGTTGTACTGGGGTCGCTATGGTCTCATGGACCATCCTGTCTTCAAGAAGTCCGTCACTGATTGCTTTGACCTTTACACCCAGGGAAAGATCAAGCCCCATGTCTGTCAAACATTCTCACTAGAAAAGGTGAGTGGAGCGAAATAAAATGTTCAGGGCTCCCAGCTATCTGTGATATCAAGGAAATCTGAAAAATCAGTTCCTTTTTTTTTTCTACCAAGGGAAAGCTAGAAATTTGAGGAAAATTTAACTTTAATCAGGGGGAAATTGGGAAAGTTCACTGGCCCCCAAAGCTATTAGTCAGTTTCTTATACCTGACTTGTTAATGAACCCAGTTCCAAGAAATCTAGTTTCACTTATTTTTTACAGAATAAGGCAAAGTCATGCATGCTTAGTTTTGTTTTCGGTGGTGCCTCATAATCACAGATGGCAGTATTCATAATTATCTCCAGAACTGATATAAATTTCAGAGGAGTCTGATTGAAAATATTATATATTTATATGATAAATTATCGGTAATCATGTTTTTGAATGCATTATTTTCTTATTTCTTTAAATTTCTTTAAATTTCTTTCAGATGATTTCTTACAAGTTTTCCCACTGACACTTTGCTCATCTTAATGATTGAACTTTGCTTGTACTTGTCATCCATGTATAATTTTCTCTTGTGCCTCAGGTTTTTTTTCTCTCTATTTCTTTCTTGTTCTCTCTCTCTTTTTTCTCTCTATTTTTTCCTATCTCCTAACAATTTACTGTCTTACTAATGAAGTGACTAGATATTGAGATGCAATCAGATAAATGTTTAAGTTTTTATATAAATATTTTCTGATATTCCTTTTATTTGTCTCTTTACCTCCAGATCAATGAAGCTTTCATGTACATGAAGAACAGAAAGTCAACTGGCAAGATCATCGTCAATGTACGATAAGAAATCCCCAATGTGGAATCAATGAATAGTACATCTTTCATGAGACTATAACATCTGAGATTCAGAAGGGCGCTAACTCATAGTGTTAAAGCATATAAATTGACATCCTTCTGGCATTCAGTATACAAATTAGTGTGAAATTATGAAGGGAGCAAACATTAAATGAACTCATAGCATTATCAGAGAAAGACATAGCAGTTTGCCATATGTAAACCTGATCTTTCTTCTAGAAATTATTAAAGGCAGGGAGAAGGAAAGTGAAAGATTATTCCAAATATTTTTGCTATTATCAAAAGGTAAAGTGATAGAGAGCATCTCATCAGAAACTGAAATGATTTCCTGTTATTGTTAGAATAGAATGTCAAACAGAAGTATGTAATTGGAGGAATACTTGAGAAGTTTGTAGTGATAGACAGAAACTGTAATATGTAATTTTGATGAATCAGCAGACAGATACTATTATATGAATTTTAATGATACATACAATATTGTATTCAAATATCATGAATATAATGAGAATTATATATTGTAAGTCTTCACCTCTTGCTAGTAAGCAATCCTATATCCTTCAACTCTTTACTGCCAAGGGGATGTCATAAAGTTTGTATAAATCCTCTCTTAAGAATTTAATAATCTTTCATCTCTGCCAAATGTGTAAATTTGAGAGAAGTTTGACTGAAAAGAGGATGAATTAGCTGACCGTAAAATAATGCATGTTTACCAATCGGTCACTTTGGTATGACACCCTGAATGTTTTCATTGAGCAACTTAAGCAGGTGAAGAGATAATAGAGGAGCTTTACACAGGGTTATCTTCGTTATTAGGTTTGTATGAAATGTAATGAGGTGATGATAAATCTTAATGTGCAATGCAAACTCAATATCACAGCAAATTAATGTAATTGCATTTTCAATATATACTGAAAATATATTTGTTTCATAATTGTTTCATAATTAATGTGGACTGTAAATTTACATCATGCTAATGTTCTTTACTTTGCATTATTCTAAAAAAAAATTGATTTTGCTCCCATCGAAGTCAGTGAAATATCTACCTCTTACTATTACTTTCACACAAATATTTAGAATTATGAGAGTAAAAGATGCTTGTAATTAGAATCTTGTGGTTTTTATATTTAGGGGATGTCATCAAGTAGGGGAAAAACAAGGATTTTAATATTTTAATAATGTATCATGTTGTACATGATGACTACATACTTTGTGCCTTGCCAATTGAGAGTTAATGCATTCCAAAATAATAGTGAATTGCATGCGTTTAATTCTTTTGCCACTCATTAAATGGACATAGGTCATATAGGAAGGTATTTTATTTTTTATTGGTAATTGTTCCATTTAATTAAAATCTGATGATTTTGATGAGGATTTGTATGTGATGAAATTGATTGAATTAAAATAATAATAATCAAAACAGTGCTTATAAAGTGCTTACCACCAAAGTCTCTGAAGGCTATAACAAACAAAATACAATGATTAACAATTACATATTAAAAGGAAACAAATTCCAAGAACCCAACAAATTACAATAAATGTATATGAAATATACATCCATGTGAACAGAGTAAGTTAATCATCAAAAGCGATTTTGAAAAACAAGTTTTGAATATATATATCCCTGTAAATGAAATATGATTATATCAAAGTGATTTTTTTCTATTAAATTCTCTTGATAAGAGTGATATGCTGTAGCAGATAATTTTGTCATTCTTGGAATCAGTCATTATGGTTAGACATACTAGTAGGTGATTAATATATATGATTGAAACAATTTAAAAATTTGACAATTAGAAGTGGGGAAGATACAATGAATTATATATCATTGTGAATTATTAATAACATTTTTTAACGCAGGTAGAGGAGGGAGAGAGAGTGGGGTAAGTGGTGTGAGAGAGGGAGGGAAAGGGAATACCGTATGTGGTGTGAGAGAGGGAGAGAGAAAAAGAGACAAAGAGAGAGAGAGGAAGAAGGGAATAGGTGGTGTTCTAACGTTTACGACGGCGAATTCAATTTTGAGAGAGAGAGAAAGGGAGGGAATGTAAGAGAGGGAGATCAACATTTTCTGAAAACAAACATTTTACAAAAGAAAGAAACATCATTGCAATACTATAATAACAGGCACAGCTAAAGAGGGTTAAGAATGGTAATACGTGATTTGTCTTTAATCATAAAATCTCAATTATCGAGAAATACACGTCCAAAGTTAAAACATTCCAGGAAAAAAAAACTACCGGTATGCGCTTCCCACAAGGAAGCTATCATTAGGTGGCGCTAGAGTACATTCACAATGACGTCAATAAGGGAGTTCACAGATAGCACATGGTACAAATGACCCCAAGAATACTTCCACCTGCGTATCATAGAATGTACCGTTGGTGCATAAATGAATAATGTTACATAACTTTCATGCTTGAGCGCATATCCAGTATTCATCTCAGTGTGGGTTTTACCATTTTGGTACAAATGACATTTATCTGCCCATGCGCAGATTGTATCTATGAACTGGCTTATTATTTAAAGGCCCACTGCACTACTTGTAACTACTTGCGCCCTCTATATAACAAACAATGCCTAATCGGTGACCATTGGTCCCCCATGATCCTCTTTTCCTTATGTTAACTGAGAGCTGAGCTAGTTGATGAGATAACCACCTGTCCAGTGACCTTGCAGGGCGCTCTAACCCCTCCTGTAAACTACGGCAGATAAGCTTTAAGAAAATGCATACACGGACCCTGACATTGTAGTAATAGTGTCATTTAATTTTTGACAAAAATATCGGTTAGTCAGATTTCCCTCTCAGCGGCTCAACAGACTGGTTTACTAAACATATTCAAATTTATGGATGTTTCTTTCCTGGGGACCTACTACTCCGACCTAGTGACGAGGTATTTCATTAACAATGAACTACAATACTTGGAATCCAGTCCGCGTACACTACTTGTTGTTTAGGGTTGTCAAGAAACAAGCTATTCTTAACCGTATGTATTAAATTTGAATATGTTAGTAAACCGGTTTATTATCAGTTTCCGAATTATTTTTGCGAGTTCAGTTACCTTCAAAAGCGTCGATGGAGACGTACTATATTTCATACAATGTCTATGTGTACCAGCTGCCAGGACCAGCTGTCTTTCTTTGTATATTAGAAATTCATTTTGTAATCATGAATCACATTCACTGGTGGTATGTCGGATAAGCCTCGAGAAAATGCTTAGTTATCGAGCTGTTCATGACGGAAGAATGCATTTTATTCGAGTATAAAGGACCAGTATTTTACAATGCAAACAAATCTGTGGAGGTAATTCTTTTCACTGTTCTCATCGAGCCATATGTCATCCACCTGTACCAAATAATAGAATTTCTCGCTTTTCTTTCTATCAAATGTTTGCAGAGATTGACTATTGCTATGTCAACATTGCCAATCATTACATGACTGACAATGAGAGCGGACAAAATATACAGTTCCTCAGGTAGACAAAGGAACATCCCTTACTGCTATTATGTAAAAATGTGTAGAACAGGTGTCACATGCATATTCACCTTTTTACATAATAGCTGTGAAGGGATGTTCCTTTGTCTACCTGAGGAACTGTATGTTTTGTCCGCTCTCATTGTCAGTGATGTTCATAGTGATGATTGGGGTGCCAAGAGCAAGATTTGAAGAATGGTATTTTATGAACTAAGAAAGTCCATGGTATATAGGCATCAGTAAAAGCACTCTGGTAAAATGTCACACGCTGAAAGGACACATTTCAAAGCAGACTGATTATTTACAATATCTGTGTAGATTCGATCGTCGTGTTGATCTAAGCCGGTCAACTTCCTTTATACTCGAATAAAATGCATTCTTCCGTCATGAACAAAGGACTTCTAGCAAGTGGAGATCGTCTTGAGTAAACTATTACGGAGTTCCTACAGGTTTAGTCGAAAAGCATGACTAGTAAGTATAACGGTGGCGCCATGACATTTACGCTTGTTCGCATTTTCCTCAGCATATCTGATACTATGTAACAAATTCTGAAACACATATCATGTATACTTTGCTAAATTATAATATAACATCATCTGAAATCGAGAAAAGATCGTATTTATACTACCTCCATACATTTCCCAGGTCGTTGTTATGCTGAGTCTGCAACTTTAGTCTGCCAAAGGATTAAAAAGAAAACGATTTTGTTTTCCAATGAAATTATAACTATAATCAAAATTTTGAAATGGTCAAGACGGCAAAAAGGGTCATTGGAATTTTTGAAGGTGATCAAATGATTATTTCAACCATGGTGTAGTAGGTCCATGTTTTACCAAACCTTAAAAAAAGCACTCATCCACATACGAGGTTGATTATCAGCATAATGATCTGTGAAGCAGCTTGCATTGGAATAAGAGCTCGTAACGTAACCAAATAGAGAATGAAAGCAAATTTTATTTCCAAATTCAAATTGCGTCTACCAAAAAAATAATAAAGATACAAATTCTCAGAACTTAGCCAAAACAATCGCTTTTATATGTCAGTGTTCAATACACTTGCGATGTTAAAGAAAAGGGGAAAATATATTCTATCCATGTTGGTCTTTATCGACAAATTATAACTCATTAATGCAACTTTAATAATAAATTATATGTAAATTAAATTCCTTATTTACGATACAAAAATCAATGATATCTTAATTTCAGCGTACGCAAAGAACCAAATTCTGGTCGTCATCGCCATCGGTCTGCTGACGGTGCCTTGGACGGGCGAATGAGTCGTGGCAGTTTCACAACCCTGAATGATGCTTCTTTCAGCATCGTTGACCCCGGGCTTTTTTGGTCGTCGAGTACGCCTCCCATGTCTCCAGATTTACAGGTATATTTGTATTATGGAATTTTGTAGCTCTTACAACAGGGGATGAGAGAAAAGAGATGAAAAGAGCACTTATCAGGAGGGGAAGGGGCACTTATCAAAGTAAAATGAGCATCTCTCTGATTCCACATAAAGGCAATTACCAGCAGTTCTCTTTCCAGGGGAGTTTTTAGTTCTTTACCGTAGGATTCACACAATTTATATTTCAGCTTGCAAATGAAGGGATACAGGACGGGGAATGGCGCAGTAGGCCTACTGAGCACAGTAATTTGCATCCCCGGCCCCCCCCCCCCACTCAGTGTTATTTAGGGTACGCATATGCGTGTTCCAACCGACCCCCCCTTTTCAGCAAAAATCCGGTGTGTAAAGTCAATACGGCTCGACCTTTTTCTTTTGTATACGAGCCTTTTTCCGCACCCCCCCCCCCTTTTCAGCAAAAGTCCGGTGTGTAAAGTCAATACGGCTCGACCTTTTTCTTTTGTTACGAAAAGGACATTTTGGCAACACGCATGCGGTCATTTTGAAACCTGAGTGGGGGGGGGGGGCGGGTTTGCATCTCGTTGATAATGTAAACGGATCTACCGTTTACTTTAGGTTCATAATTAAAAAGGGTGGTTTTAATTTTAAGAAGACAATGCCTATTAAATCTTCTTCTTCTTTTTTTCTTTGTTATATGTTCTTTTTTTTCAGGGGGAGGGGATTCGCCATGCGTCTAGAAGAGATTCTCCTACTGAGTTGCAGATGCTACAGGGGGCATGTGGGCGTGTCCCCCATCGAGAAGTGAAAATAAAATAAATGAAGATTAAAAAAACGAGGAAAAAAAAGAGAGCATGAAAGCTGTCCTTTGTGTACTTCGTATAATACTTTACTTTGTTTACAAGTTCATTGTAAACTCATTGTGTCGACCAATTAAATAGCAATAAATGTACTTTGAGCGACATAAAAATGGGTGAAAAACGTTCTTTTTTTGTTTAATAATATTTTTTTTAAAGAAGAAAAAAGTTGCATTAGCTGGGTATCGAACTCGATACCTTCCAGTTACCAGGCGATCGCCTATCCACGAGACTAACGTGTCCAACTGACGATCATCGTGAGTTTTTGCGTCTTAATACTCATTATTGTTGTATTGTGTATAAAAAGAAGACAGTATTCTAAACAAATCAGAGAGTCGCTTGTTAAAGAAAAAGTATCACATGTCATTTTCCCCTTTGTTGAAGAGGTTGGGGGGGGGGGTGTCCCCTTAAAAAAAAAGATAAACGAGTCAATATCATGGGGTGAAGAACACAATGATAAAAATAACATATGGGGCATAAATAGGTAGCTGGGAATCGTACAGAGTACATTGCATTTGCATCTGTGGCGGATTCTGGGCATGAGGCATTGCATTTCTTTAAAAAGTATAATGGGATAACAACCAGGGGCGTCGCCAAAGGGGGGGGGGGGGAACCGACCTGTCAGGATATTGTTGGTAAAATTGCGCTGCTGTCGGGAAAAATGAGAAAGGGGGAGGGAAAAATGAGAAAGAAAGGGAAAGAAAAGAGAAGATAGAAAGAGAGAAAAAAAAAAAAAGGAAGGAGAGGAAAGAAAGGAAAAGAAAGAAAAGAAAGACAGGAGGGAGAGAGGGGGATAAGAGCCTGAGAGAAGAGGGGTGGGAGTAAGAGAGAGAGAAAGAGAGGGGGGATGTTGGGTGGAGTCACTAAATCGAGGGGGCAAGAAAAAAGCGCATATATAGATCCCTATGTTGGTATTCTTGCTCGATCCTCGTGTGCTACATCAATGCAGAAGTTTGAAGGCTATGAGATGTATTATGTCGGTCGACTGGCAATTTTTTGCCCCTACGAACTGTGAATTTTAATCGGACAAAGAAACATTTTTGAACATTCAGACAATGATTGAGAGTCGGTACAACGAATCAGCTTCTTTTTCTAATAATTTGATGAAACGTCAAAGCTTCCGTGCTTCGCGCGGGAACGGGGAAACTGAATTCAGACAAGGATTAAGAATAAAGGAAGGTAAAACGTCGTCTTCTTTCTATCATAATTTAATGAAACGTCAAAGCTTCTGCGCTTCGCTTCAGACAACAATTAAGAGTAATAATTAAATGAAACGACAAAGCGCGCGGGAGGGGAGAAACTGAATCCAGACAAGGACACGATGCAACGTCATCGATTCTGCGCTTCGCGCGGGAGGGGCGAAACAAAAATTAAGAGTCGGGAAGGGTACAACGAATCGTATTCTTTTTCTAATAATTTCATGAAGTGTCAAAGCTTCTGCGCTTCGCGCGGGAGGGGGGAGGGGAAGGAACTGAAAAATAACTTATTTCTTGTCCCGGGTTTATAGGGTTAAATTTGTAGACATTGGGACATTGGCATTAATATATTTGTTGGTAATTGGTGGCTAGCTTTGTGGGTACATCAGTGGCACATCATTCCTCTACACCCCCTCCCCCTGATAACCAAGATCGGTTGAACTTTTTTAGACCCCTCCCCAGGACGTCGATCAATTACATGTATGTGCCCCCCCCCCCCGAAAAAAAAAAACAAAAACAAAAACAAAAACATCAAACTCTGGCTACGGCCCTGCTGATACCAACACAGTTTATACACTCGAGATAATTTTTGCAAATTCTACTGGTGAAGTACCAGACCACCGTCTTTGTGCATTGTGCAGCAACGAAGCATACAACGTCTCGCGACGGGACAGATCACTTTTCTCTAACTTCTAACCCGATCAGAAGGCCTCGTTTTTTTCCAGGAAGTACTGGTGGACGGGACATTGACGTGGTTCTCAAATTGCAAAAGATCCCTACTCTTGGAGGGGGTGGGAAAAAGCATTTTTACGTCAAATTATTCCAGGGACTCTTGCCTGAAAATGCGCTTAATGTGTTTCTAAAATTGCAAATGCTCCTACTCTCAGAGGGGGTTCTGACCCCAGCTCGCAGACCCAAGGTCGCTCCGCTCCCTCGCCGCTGACGCCATCGTTTACCATATATTTCACCCCATGCGATTTTGTGCCCCCCCCCCCTCCCGGTAAGAAATTCCTGGAACCACCACTGTGCATTATGAAGCGATCAGTCTTATCCACAAGACCACTTTACCTCGCTGCCAATACCTGGTTCGCTTCTTTTACAAGTTTTAAAAAAAAATGCACTAGCTGGGTAACTTATTTCCCGAAGATAGAAATGCTCCGTAAACACAACACACGTGGAAATATGTGTATACTGCGCGCGTGCGCAACGCGTTGTCAACAATGTCGGCTTGCCTCGAAAATGCAGACGATTCCACTATCAACGCCAATAAGATGGATTATCTTCAAGCTTTCCAAAGTACCTTGGATCGCATTTGGATCTCGTGTATAGTGTATCCAAACGAGGATGAAGGAGAAGGAATTACTCCAAACAGCAGCTTTTGTAACTTGATGATAGAGGTAAGAACATTTTTCCTTCACTTCAGATTCAGCTAGTAGTATGGCATGCGTTGTGTGCATATATGCGGCGATCGTGTTCGCGGGTGCAACGCTAGGGCCTAGCTAGACGAGGCGAGCTAAGGCTAAGCAAGCAGAGAGTGCTGGGGATTGGAAATGTGTGTTGCATTTGTACGTGTTGGAGCTGGAGGGGGCCGGGGGACGGTCGACGGGAGAAGTCTGGTAGAATCTAGCGCTATCGCAAAGCAAGCTACTTTAGTTCTGTGACTATCTACCAGGCCTTAAATTTCAATATTTTTAGGGCAAGGCCACTTTTCTGTAGGGCACATTCCTATATTAGATCTAGAATCTACAGCACAAATAGGAAGAATTGGAAAGGGCACAAAAAATCTCCAAGGCCAATGAGAGGGGCATTGAGGCCAATCAAAGCCAAAGGGGCATCTAAGGCCATGGCCTTGGTGGCCTTGGATTAATTTAAGCCCTGATCTACAGTAGATAGATGATGCGGGGGGGGGGGGGGGGGGGGGGGGGGGGGGGGTCTCATACTGAATGATAGGGTGTCTGCATCCGTGCATCACGCACTCAGTTTTGTGTGCCAAAATTCTTCCCATGGTAGAGATTGCACACATCCCTATTCCGTCCATGTGCATTGCAAAACTGGTCAATGTTTTTATTACCAAAATGAGATTCAAACCAATAGGCCTACAATACTGCTCGTGATCCTGAAGGTGATAGTGAAGGTGATAGTGATACTCAGTAAGTGAGGTGTCAGCAGGTTTTTCGGCGCTTGTTCAGAAACGTATCCAAAATTTGACCCGTAACTCCGGCGTGGAGATACCCTACTAAAACATACCCAAATGAAGTAAATATTCATTTAATGTCCAAATAACGATCATGAGTTAAAAGTTGTTATGTTTATTATCTGTTTCGTGTCAATTTTCTTGTTATTTTTGGAGTAATTTTTGGAAAAACAATGATATTAGTATTTACATTTTCTCAGGTTTCACGGCAAACTGCTGCAGAATACATACCGATGCTGGGTTGTGGGCGGGCGCGCCTGTATGAAGTTATCCGTAATGTCTAATGAGGATCTGAGACATTAGGAATTTAGGAATGTTTCAGTAGGGTATCTCCATGCCGGAGTTATGGGTCAAATTTTGGATATGTTTCTGAACAATCGCCAGTTTTTCTCCATATTCCCCAAAGGGGCTCACCCCCCAAATTCTGAAAACATCTTGATCAAAACAGCGATTTAAACATTGTTTTTATGGTATCTCGGGGATTTACCAATTTCACGATGTGAGTCCCCGAGGGATAAGTTGGGCCATGTGAGCAAACATTATAACTCTGCATGTACCACTTTTTCGTCCATTCTGACCCAAATGCTATGAATATTGACTAGATGGGGGGGGGGGGGGGGCGGGGCTGTATCTTTTGATAGAACAAATCGGTGAGTCTTGAAATTTGAAATGTGTAGTTCTGAGTAAATGATTTTTCCAAATATCCAACTATAATTAATGGTGACAAACGATCCAAAAGGGAAAATTGAAAAATCGTCCAGACAGTACTCAGTGTTATTTAGATTACGCATATGCATGTTCCCTCCCTTTGAAAACACCCCCCTACCTAAGTCTGGTGTGTAAAGTCAATACGGGCCGATTTTTTGTGTGTATTACGAGCCGGACTTTGTTGCATGGAAAGTACCCCTTTACCGGACATTTTGGGAACATGAATGCGGTCCCTCCATTCCAGAGTGGGGGGGGGGGGGGATTATGCATGTTGTTTTCTTAGTCAAGACTAACATTGCTCAGTCTTAGCCTCAAATTTAGTGTCAAGTCTACTGTCTTTAGACAATTTAATTTAATGCAGAAGTAGGGAGGCACATACCAAATTCTAAACCTTAATTAGATCTAGGCATTTCTGAATGATAAAAGTAGTTCCAATAAGCCCAATTTTGACAGAAATTCTGTGCGAAATCGGATCAAAGTACAGTCGCTTGTCAGCGACTAGTCTTGAATCGGTCGCACACAGTATTTTTAATTCGTAATTGTGAGACGACTTAGACCGACTGTAAAATTATTTTTCTCTGACTTCAATCTCCATTTCTTTTCAAGATATTCATCTCTATTGACTGCAAAATCATGCGGAATAAACTCAGTGAGACCCCCCCCCCCCCTTCCAGGAAAAATCCTTCCAAAAACTACCTGTCTTGTGTATCCTTTTGACCTGCCTATTTAGTACTGCCACCTATCCAATTTTATAGGCTAAGGAATCATTTATTTGAATCCTAGATACCAGTATTACCTTTACCTAAAGAGAAGGTTGAGTTCAGGGAAGAGGTGAAAAATAATTTGTGAGCGTTATCATTGGAAGAACATCAGATAAAAAATGTTTCCTGAAAAGCATGGCTCTTCAAATGCCATAATATTCTAAATATGGCATGTTACATCATACAAATCGGGATGGATTTTTATGCCACATGTTCGTGTAGTCCCATAAACATCTTTCTGTGTACAGTGCTTGTAAATTTACCAAGACTGGGCCGAATTTCTTATCATTTTGACGATTCCAGAACCTTGCAGTACACACCAATACTTACAAATGTATATATGCTAGATGATCAACCTTTTCTGATCGATTCCACAACGTTTCTTTTACAATGCAATTGCATGACCAGAACTGGAAAAGGTAGAATGTCGTGCGGAGCCTCCCGGGCATCGCTCAGGTGTTGGGTAGGCACCGCCATACCTTTTGATCATCGACCAACCTCTGATAGCGCCTGTCCTTATGTCGAGAGGGCTTCACTCGACTCACGTTTGTTTACTGACAGGCGCCAGATGATTTCTGATCACTAGTTTTCATAGGCACCTCCTGAGCTCTGCCCAATATGTGACGGTAGATTTTAAGTGAAAAATATGATTGACTCTCTGGCGGGTTTGAAATTCTGTGACTTTCTGACAACCCTCAAATTTGGCAGGAGACTATTGGACATGTGACGCAGGCATAACAAAGATAGTTGTGTCGTTAGCAAATTGAGATATTTTTTATTTCTTCCAGTTCGTTCATTGCATCTGAAATAGGTGACATACATTAATTACTAAATTAACATGTTTAGTTTAAAAAAATTCATTGCCAAAACTTCAGCAACAATTACAAAAAGTAACGATTAAGGGGACACCCCTGTCTTACCCCTCTTTCAATATTAAAACTTTCAGAAATCCAGCCATGGTTCATGATGAATCATCACACAACCTTTTACTTTTATGTACATCGATTGAATCCACTGAATGAAACATTTTCCAAAATTTAACTTTCCAAAACTTAACATACAATAAATAAGTTCTTATTCGATAAAACTTGGACTAAATGGTTATCAAGTATTACCAATCATGTGAGGAGAATTTCAGGTCACAAAGTCAAGGTCTAAGGTCATTTCAGTTCAACAAACTTAGACTATGTTGTGGCATCAACAGCAAAACTTAACAAAAGATTACTATTGTTTTTTTTCTCATAATTTTGAAAGTATATATTCCTATTCCTTGAAATTTGAACATAGGGGTTATCAAGTATCAGCAATCATGTGATTAGTCTTTTAGATGACAAAGTCAAGGTCAAATGTAATTTAAGGTCTGCAAACTTACTTTTTTGTTGTTGATGAATTTTTAGCGTACAAGCGTTTGTTCAAATTCCATGAAACTTGTACACAAGGGTTATCAAATACATACATCTTAAATCATATGACACAAATTCCAGGTCACAAAGTCCAGGTCAAAGGTCATTTTAGGTCAGTAGACTTGAATTATGTTTTTGACAACTTAATATGAGAATTAATAAATCAATTTTTGGGATTTGTTCATATTTCATGAAAGTTATCAATCTTGGTATAAATAATAGTAAATAATTCTTCTGATGATTCTTAGTCAATATTCACTTCAAAATGCTGATTATATTCAGAGGATTTTTTTTTTTTTTTTTTTGTGGGGGGGGGGGGGGGGGGGCTGCTTATGGGCCACCCTGCCTTTAAATAATTATGTCCCAACCTCAATTTTTCATCATATCGAATTGCGTAATGCAGGCAAGAGCGTTTCCCTTGTTCCTGATTGAGGTGTCATATATGAAAGGACAGAAAATAAACTTTCTAGAAATGCGATTTTCTCTTTGAAATTCAGATACCGCCCGCCAAATGACCTTTTGGTTTCCTCTCTTCAAATTGTATAATCACTCATGCGTCATATTAGTTGCATCAAATGAAAGAGGAGGATCTCAGCTTTACAAACATGTGTCATTTCGTTTTTTCTGGGACGCACTGTATAGTTGGGAGATTTCAGGAATCGATTAGATAAGTTTTTCTCAATTTTTATCATTACCGTAATAATGGTCTGTTTTCACTCTAATTTTCAGATTATCTTTTAATGTATAACTAGCAATAAAGTCACTACCTTAGCACCATTTTCTCTCATCTGAACAATGTTACAAAGTACCTTTAATATTGATTAAATCCAAATATAATTTGTGATCTTAACTTGTGTTATTACCCACTGGGTAATCAACTGACCTTATTTGACAATCTGCTTAATTCTATTCATTTTGTGTGTATCTTGTTCCAACAGGCAGTAGACAAATTCTACAGTGGTCATGTACACCACCCTACTAGAGAAGTACTGACTGGTTTACACAATGCTCTGAGGATAATTGCAACATCCTCACACAGCTTTTCCCCATTAGATGAGCATCTTACCAGTGTCTGTATGAAGATATATGAGTAAGTATTGGTGTTACAAAATGTAGAACCAGATTAACTTCATTTTAATGCAGTTTTATCATTAAAGAAGTTCATGCACATCATAGGCTGATAGTAGTTCTTTGTAAAACATCAATCTTCTCTCTTCACTTATCATTCAATTATTTGGTGACGACACCACTCGATGGCCTATGTATTCTACAATGATATGAGAACTTCATCCTTTAAAAAAATGTTTCACAGAAATGTGTTTTAAATTTTCCTCATAATGTATTCGTTAAATATCCTGTTGACTTCCATATTCTTTCATTCCCATAGTCTTGAGAAAAAAACCACCCGCCAGCGCAGAACTGTCAGAATTTTGATGTACATCACTATTCGTTGAATCTATTAGTTTTTCTTTAGTGTGATAATAATGTATACATGTAGTACCATTCAAAAATGTTTATTTATGAAATGTTCTGTAAAAATATCAATAATTTAAGGAGTACATTGCATACTTGACTGTACCAGAATCATAAATCTTACTGTGTTCACACTGTGTCTTCCTTTGAATATCTGCAGATACTGTGTGGAGATACTCTTTGACAAAGCCTGGGTGAATGTTGAAGATGAAAGCAGAGCATCAGCAACCAGAGAGTTTTACAACTTCTACTGCTGCCTTTCCAACTGGTCTCATGATCGGTTCCTGATCCTGGCCATTCTCAGCCAGAAGCCATGGGGTCATGAGATCATGACTCAAGTGCTTGAAAGAGAGGAAAACACAGACAAGGCAGAAGGTACCTTTCAAAAATGTTCAGTCTTGTTTTGCGATCATAACGCCAAATCCCCCCCCCCCCCCCCCCCCCCCCCCCAAAAAAAAACGATGATGCAACTACAAACCAATATTTGCCGACAGATATATTCACAGGAGACAGGGACACTGAAAGTTTTGTGAACAGTTGTTTTAATGAATCGGTAGTTGACACAGGCTACTTGTGTTTTATGTTTGCACAGGTATTCCTGGCTCATTGTTGAATGTTTTGTAAATTGCGAACCTACTACGATATACAAAATTGTTGAAAGTAAAACCCTTGAGAAAAAAAGTAATTTGTTGCCCTCCTTTTCAAGTACTTAACATGTTTTGCTGTGACCTGTTATTATCAGGTCATCCTTATTCATTTTTACAGTAGCTGATTGATCAATTGGCATTATATGTAATTGTGAACATTCTGTCTTGTGCATTTTTAGCTAGGGCTGCTCTTTCTCTTAGGTTACAAAATTGGCTCTGCTAATGAATCGCAATGACAAAACATTTTTCAATAAATTAATTGATTTGTTCCATACATGAACCAAGTAACGATGTGCTAATTGGAATCATACTCACTTTCATAATTACATGTACCGTAAATCTCTGTGTATAAGAGGCACCCCTATTTTTAAAGACGCATATGTAGTAGTAGGCTCTCATTGGGAATTCAACACCGTTCAGATGTTTACCCAATAACAGGCATTGTTAATCGCCAGGATTAGCCTTCAGTTTTCTGACCGAAATGCCTTATGTAATGCTTTGTATTTCCTCATCCATTCCTCCACAAGGTAAAGTCATTATCTCACTTTTCCCTCACCCGAAGACGCTCCGAAAGAGAAAGGGTATTTCTTGATGGACCTAAGGGTTCACTGTGTGCAGACGTACACATTAATTGTAATTCCACCAAGTCTGGTGTCTGCGAATTATGGCCTTCTGTACATGGAAACTAACGACCCACTCCCTTTAAGACACGGCTGGGTGTAGGGGCATAAATCGACACTAAATAAAAAATCCCCCCCCCCCCCCTCCCACCTGGAAAAAATTTCTTAACTTCAAATAGTATTCTTTATTTGCATTATGTTGAGACACAGAGATGGTTGTACACCACTGAAAAGTAGCATTTTAAGGACTCAAAATGTCATGTGCCTGTGTATATTTTCCGGCGGAAAAAAAGGTGCGTCTTATACACAGAGATTTACGGTATGTACTTCCTCACCCCCTCCCCCCATTGAACAAATAAACAAACATTATTAGATATTGTCGGACATTATTAACTGTATTATCATATCAAAAGCTAATGATTTTAATTTAAGAATTGATATTATCTAGTTGACAGGTACCTGACCTTAGAAGGGAAGTACCTTCTTGAACATCGTCTGCGAGTCCTGATCCAGGAAGATCTTCCCCTCCATGCTCTCAACCTGGCCAGAGCCTGCACTGAACACCCTGACCTAGGACAAGAATCCATCTTCCTGGAGACGCTGTACCTGCTCTACTTCAACCTTGGTCTCACACATGAACTTCAAACACAGGTATTGCTTGTTGACCAGCAAATGATTTTGAGACCACCATCAATATTTTTAATTTTTTGTTGTTATGCACTAAAAACTTAGGACTTTGTCATCTTCCAAATATCTGAATCACTAAATGCTGATTTTAAGATGGTTTCAGAAACATATCTTTATTAGTTCATTATAAAGATTCTCTGATGTTGGCACTGTTTTTGTGTTAGTCTTTTACAATGTTTGTTCTCACCATTTACATTACATGTTCATTAATGCTTTCTATACTCTGTACATTGTACACAGCCTTAATTCAATGAGATAAATTGTGAAAAGGGTTGACACAATGTTATTTCATTCTTTCAGGTTGAAGATCATCCAACAATACAAGATGTCATGAAAGTAGCAGAGAGTATGAGCTCTTACTGTCCAGAGCACGCATCCAACCTACTCAAATCAATCATAGAACGGCTTTGGTCTGAAAAGCTTGGTAGCAACCTGCTAATCGGAGAGGCTGAAGAATTGTGGATAGATTCAACGTTGAAAGTCTGTTCACCTGACTCAGACAAGTTTGCTGAATGCTTAGAAGACCTCTCAACAATGACATATGACCCTCTTTATATGTACAACCTTGCAGATCTCGTATACAAGAAGGTTAGTTGTCAATAGAATTTTAATCAGTTTAGAGATGCACTTGTTCATATTTCAATTAAACGGAGGTTGATATATTTGTTGATTATTTATTAGTTCAAAATTTGTCATATTGTTAAAAGACTGTTAAAAGAGTGAGAACTTGTGTCAAAAGCACTAATAGTGTAACTTTACAATTCTATCCTGTTTTGATAAACTTACAAATACATTAAGGTGTGAATTACGATTTCATGTAATATGAATGATTGTTTTGTGTATGTGGTCTTGCGTACAGTCATCAAATATTTTTTAAAGTACTTTTATGAACCATGAATATAGTAAATTCTAGTGCATATCTCTTATATCCTTTTTTAGGTTGGTGAAGCTGCTACTGTACCCTTGGTCTCCCTCTGTCTCAAAGCTTTGATGGTGCCAAGTCTTTCTGTTACTGAGGATATCATCCAAGCAGCAAAGATTGATTATGGAAATGCAGCGTTCTGCATGCTGTTGTCTGAGATTCTGAAAAATGATGAGAGGATGCAGCGGCTATGTCTCCTTGCCGCCTTCTTCATTGCTCCTTCTCTTGACAGCCTGTCTGCTCTAAAGGACAGCTACCAAGACTCAAAGGAGGAGCGATTTCCGAAGCTGACTTCCTATCAACAGCACGATCTGATCAAGTGCATGGAGTTTTTCATACCTGTGTGTGTATCTTTATCTGAGGATTGGACATTGGTTTCGCAGATCTTTGAGGGATATTTTCGCAAGAGCAAGGTGATATGCATCCTGTTGAGCATACCATTTGGGGAAATGAAGACGCTGAAGTTCTATGATAAGTCTTGGCATCCTGTTCAAGCAGACTTCAAGCCATCAGGAATGCTTAGAGTGAAAGAGGCATTCTATTCTGCACTAAGACTTCATAAAGGTGTAGTCATGGTGTCCTGCAAGCATGAACGTCAGATTGCGCCGAAAGCGAAGAAGAAACCTCCAGTTGAACGTAGGAATCCCCAGGATTGTCCAGCATCTTCAGAGACTACTGCTGTGGTAGATGATGAAGCATATGCGGAGACTACTGCTGTGGTAGATGATGAAGCATATGCGGAGACTACTGCTGTGGTAGATAATGAAGCATCTTCAGAGACTACTACTGTGGTAGATGATGAAGCAGCTGCGGAATGGTTACCATGCATGGTGCTAGATCTTCAGGAAGAGGTTTTAACAGAACAGGAATTCATTGATCATGCTAGTGACCCTTCAGTAGAAGACATGCTGGTAGAACCTAGCAGAGAATCCCCTGTCCCACAGAGTCCTCCACCACTGCTGGAAATGTCATCAGTATCACCACAGAGTAGAAACTCTGATTCTGCAGATGCTAGTTTGGTAAAAGAAAGAACAGATCTTCAGCAAGAAAAGTCACTAGAAGTGATGGACAATCATGACATGATCTGCTTATCAAAAGACCAACAGACCAAAACTCTGAATCATGTATCAGCACCACTAGTGTTTCCTAGTGTCAGTGAAAGAGAAAGAAAATTGCCTATCATAACTCAGATAAAACAGCTTGACAAACCGCAAGTGGAAACAAAATATGTGAGATTGTGTATAAACAGAAGTGACCTTGAAAGTGATGGTGTGGTGGTTCCTGAAATGTTTGCCACTGATCCGGAACCTAGTTTAGGTAGCCCCGTATCTTTTGATAGCAGTGATAGCTGTGATAGCAGTGACAGCTGTGACAGCAGTGACACAGAGATGGTGAGCTGGACAGATGAACAGGATTGTAGTTCTAACCAAACAGAGGAAGAAGATGTATTGTGCAGTGGTGATGAAGAAGTATGTATGCTGGCTGGGAAAGAGAAAGAATTTCAAATGTTAGAAGTGAACACATGCCAAAGAAACCTTTCAAAAGATGATGAGCTTACCAAACATTCACATGAATTTGGGAACCCAGAGTCGTCAGCGTTGAATGTCAGTAATGTGGATCCATGTTGTACACAAGATGAAGCAATAGACCTTGCAAGAGACATTTCGGCAGATAAGAAATCTGTAGTTCAAAGTGCTTTGACTGATGTAGTTAAGGTGGTTCTTGTGAAAGATAGGCAAGCTGAAGAACTCTTGTTAAGGACACAGGATTCACAAGGCTTCATCGAAGAACAACATGATTTTCATTACTCAAGTCCTGTGAAAGAAAGGGTCAAGAACAATGAAGTAGAAACATGTAGTATGTCACCAGCAGAAGGGTTCAACCACCAGCATAGAAATGTGTACTTGAAGACTTCTGTGTGTAGTGTAAAGCTTACATGTTTCATGAAACATAGAGTCAAGAAGCAGAACCTTCAGAATCTAGAGTTGTGGAAATTCTCGGTTAAAGAGGGAGATAAGGAGAAAGGAGAAGATGCAGAAAGCTTGACAAGTGACGTTGATTTTGATGTGAAGTCACCAGAAGAAAACGTGACCTGTTTCCCAGTTGATAAAGTGCATCACGTAGGAAAGTCCACAGCTGAAATCCAGGATAAGCAGAATGGCATTGAGGACATGCACATTTTTCAGGCAGAAACTTGTAGAGAAACAAAGGGAGACAGATTGGCAAGTGTTTTTAGTGAGAACAGCATTCCTTGGATAGATGGACAGTTAGACCAAGAAGAACAGTCAGAAAATCCAGTTTGGGCTGCGATAACAAGTTACAATGAAGACAAATATCTAGAGAATGTTTCCTGTGAAGAAATGACAGAAGAAAGACCCATGCTGGATTATGAGCCTCAAACTTACACTGCGGATGAGGTTAGCAATTTGGAATTGCCACTTTTGACTCTTGAAACTGAAGTCAATGAGGCAATGTTGCCTGCTATCAAGGACTCTTTACAGAGATGTGATGATTCAGACATTCCTTTGCTTCTTGATTGCTACGAGGCAGAGTCCCATGAAAACTTGACTATTGATAAGTATGTAAACTGTGAGCAAGAAAGGCATGAGGATTTGGTGTACCCTCAAGATATCCATGAGCTGTCCAGAAATGTCTTTGGCGAGACTGTTGATCAGAGAACTGAAGACCACATCGAAAAGTCTTCAGTCCAAGAAAATGAATGTAACATTGAGATAGAACCTTTAGTTTATTTACCAGTTGAACATATCCACTTTCAAGAAGAACAGGTGCATGAGAAGAAATCTGTTTGTGGCATAAATCTTCCATGCGACATAGATAGGATCACTGCTGAAGAGGATCCACATTCTGCTGCAGGAGAGTGGCAATGTACACAGGTGTTAGGAAAAGGAAAGGAAGAGAGTGAAGATGTTATAGGAAGCACTGCATGTGAAATAGCCATTGACCTTGGTGCACAGGACAAACAGTTTGATCACCTATCGCTTGACAAAGTCTGTCACAAGGGTATGTTTGAAGGTAACTTGGATAGGCAGAATTATCAAGTAATAGATAGTCTAGGAAACAAGTTAGAAGTTGCTGGCAGTGAGGTTATTAGTGCATCCATAGATGGTCTAGTTGCTTCAGAAGAGCAGCCAGAAGTAAACAGACAGTTCTTGATGACACTAGAATCACCACATCATGAGACTGAATTGAGAAGTTTAGTGGATGACTCATCAAATACCAGAGGACATTCAACTGAAGAGGCCAGCCAGTCACTTCTTGAAATAGAAGCGGTGTCCATCGAGAGCTCAAGCAACAATTTGGAGGACCCTGTTATGGCAGAGATAACAAGTCTTCCCCATGATAATTCTTTGGAGATTGTGTCCAGTGATGAATTGACAAAATCAACAGAGTACAGGACAGTAGAATTTCCTTCGCACAAAGCTGAGACGCAAACATGTCCTATGGTTGAAGTTAGGGATGTTGAAGCACCAGTGTTGACACAGGAAGCGAAAGTCATCAAGGATCCTGTGATGTTAGAGAAAAGGGAAGGAAGTCAGAGCACTTTCAGAAATGTCTGGACACTATTGTCTGGTATACAGGATTCTTCTAAGATAATTGAGAATTCAAACACTATTATGCTCGTGGATAGCAGTGATGAAGAGATACATGATGGTAAGATAGATGAAAAGGCCACAAGATATGAGCATGCTAGGATCGAAGACTTGACATTCATCAAAGATGACCATGAGCTTACAAGGAAAGCCATTAGAGCTGGGATTGAACAGAGAATTATGAGTCACATGGATGGGCCTTCGGTGCTAGAGAATAAATGTAGCAGAGAAACAGAACATTTGGTTTCCTCCCCAAAGGAAGCTATCCCTTGTCAACAAAGACAGACACAATTCAAGAAGTCAATCTGTTGTGTCAACCTCCCATGTAACATGGATAGAAGAAATGCCAAATATAACCCACTGGTTCAAGCTGAAGAGTGGAGATGCATACCAAAGACTTTAGAAAGCAAAAGAGATTCAAAGAGCTGTACACATGAAGTAGAAATTAAGCTGGATCCTTTGGACAGAACTGTCAATTCCCCATCACATGAGAAGTTCTCAGACACAAGTGCAACTAAAGGTGACAAGGATAAGCAGAACAATAGACAGGTGTGCCAAAATGTTCCTGAAGAATTGTTGGGAAATAGGTTACCAGATGGATACCGTGAGTTCAGAATCCCATGGGTAGATGGACAGGTCTATCCTGAAAAGCAGCAAGAATTGTATAGACAATACTTGATGCCGTTGGAAAGTAAAACAAAGCCAGCTAACTGTACATCATCGGACATCACAGGAGATCCAGCTATGAAGGCTATCCAGCCACTTGCGCAAACGCCAGATGTATCTATTACAAGTCTCCATCCACACCAATCACTGACGAAATTAGACAAAGTAACAAAGCACAGTGCAGTAGAAAGTCACATACAACAAAATGATGTGCAATCAAACCATGTGGATGAATTTAGAGATGTGGCATTACCAGTCTTGACTCCGGAAACAGGAATCAACAAACAGACTGTGACAGCAGAGAAAAGTGATACAACTAGAAGCATGGTGAGGAATGAAGTGCCAATGCATGACTCTTGCAATGAGGACTTGATCTGTTGCAAAGATGATATTGATCATTCAATGAAAGCCACTTGTGTTGAAAAGGAAAATACATGTTCCAGTGAAAAGAATTCAGTCCTAGAAAACAAGAGTGGCAATGAGATAAAACTTTTGGTTTCTTCACAGATGGAAGATATAGAAGATACACTACTTCAACAAAGAAAGATAAACTTCAAGCAGTCAGTCTCCTGTGTCAGAATCCCATGTGACATGGATAAGAGGCATGCCAAGGAGAATGCTCCAGCTGAAAAGTGGCAATGTGTTTCCAGAAATATAGAAAGCAGAGAAGATTCAAATAGATGTACATGTGAAGTAGACATTGAGCTAAAGCTACAGGACAAACCCCAGGATTATTTGTCGCTTGACAGAGCCTCAGACGCAAGTACAACTAAAGTGAACATTGATAAGCAGAACAACAGGCAGGATTGCCACAAGTCATGCCAAATTGACCCAGGAGTATCTCCAGGAGATGAGATAACTAGAGCTTGCCATGAATTCAATATCCCATGGCTAGATGGACAGGTAGACCTTGAAGGGCAGCCAGAAGTAGAGCAATACAAAATTCCTTTGAAAAATGGAGTACAGCCAAATGATGAGACCAGTATGCCATTTTTAGATGATACCTGTTTGTCATTAGCCAGTGGAAATGCATCAACTCACCTGACCAACCCACTCAATATTGTAGCACCAGAGTTATCAATTCAACATTCAAACACTGAGACGGATGGTTCTGTGTTAGCAGGAATGTCGCCAATGAAGAAAGATGTACCATTGGAGAATGTATGCAGCGATACAACAACATTAATGAAAGACTTGGCAGCTGAAACTCAGGAGCAGGAATGTGAGCCTGAAAAACACCTTGATGAAAATGAAGAGTTGAAATTACCAGTTCTTTTCCAGGAAGCAGAAACTGGTCAAGGGCAACAGATAATAGAGAATGGAGATAGATGTGATAATACAAGACATTTCTGTAAAGATGTTGAAAACTTGAGTATTCCCAAGATGCCTGATGACATTGGTGCAGTGACACAGGAGATGGCTGTTCAAGGAGATACAATCTTTGAGAAATCAGAGAAGAAAGACAAGGAACCGATTGGCAATGTGAGCAATGCAATGAATGGAAGTGTTGATCAGAGAACTGTAGATCATGTTGAAAAGCTTTCAGGGTCTAATAAGAAGACCAGCTGTGAACAGCGGCCCCAAATTTGTCCAGAAGCAAAAGTAACCCACCTTGAACAAAAAATGCCACGTAACATGAATCACGATCTTGTAGTGCAAGATCCACATGCTCTTACCAAACAATGTAGACTCGCAATAGGGAATGTCCTTTTGAATTGGGACTCTGAGAGCTGTGTATGTGATGGACAAGTTGACAGGCATCTGCAGAAGTGCACAAAGTGTCTTTCCATCAGGAACTACACTGTCTCAGAAGAGCATGCAGCTGACAACCAAGGTAGGCAGATGAAACAAGACAAGATTGTTGAGAGAAATAGTGACACAATTGAGAGACTGTGCCAAAGAGAGGAAAGGGAAGCAATGGTTTGTAGTGAGCTTGTCATTCCATGTAATGATGGAGAGATAATTCAAGAAGTGCACCTAAATGGAGATGAACAACACTTGATGTTACAGGAAATAAGTCCAAATGATGGGAATGTGCATAACCTGAATACAGAATCAAAGCAAGTAACAGCAATGGAGATATCTATCAAACAAGGGTCACTTGACATTGATTCTTGCAAAGTAAACTCAGCAGAAAGCTCTGGGGTGAAGGAAGAGAAAGATTTGTTGTTTATCGAGAGCAGAGAAAAAGTAGAAGCTGGTGGAGTCATGGAAAAACAAAGTTTTCAGAACTCTTTGTTTCAAGAATCTGTTCATGAAACTGGAACGACAGTGAAAAATGAAGGAGCTATGCTAAAACCAGCTATACTTAATACAGTTGCAGACAGCAATGAAGAAAGATGTAACGGAAAGGCAACAGGAGATATCAGCAGACCCTTGAAAACATTTCTCTCAGGAGACTGTAAAAATGCGCCATTGAACAACTCACCATTGTTTAAGAAGAGAGATGCCTTGTATGGTTTGACTTACGGTAAGACATCATTTAAACAGCCCTCCATGCCAAAGTCAGTTAATCAATCGGCATCCGTTACACATTTCATCTCTAAGAAAGCAGGAAAAGAATCTTCACAAAAGATTTGTCCTAAGACTGCCAATAAGTTCATCTCAAAGAAATCTTTGAAAGCAACTCCAAGTAAACAGTCCTGTGACGGAGACCAGATGGTGAACAAACCACTATCCATCAGACGTTTTGCATCAAGGAAGTCGGGCACAGATCCTTCACCTCAGAGCGAGTCATCAAGGAAGTGTCCTGTGCGTGCTACCAACAAATTCATCTCAAAGAAATCATGTGAAGCAGCTCCAAAGCAGGTTAAATGTGACAGGGTGACTCGAAAGACAATTGTTACCTCAAAGGCATCAGTACATCCAAGTGTGAAAAAGACAACCTCAGACAACCCATTGGGTTTCAAAGCATGTGCACACAATGAACTTTCTCACCTACCTCTTCCATTAAAGTCAACAGCAATTAAGAGAAGATCCTCTTCTTTGAGAATGCCAGTGAAGTCTTCCTCCTTTCAAGCCCAGAAACATTCATATTCTGAAGCCTCTAGCCCACCAAAGCTCATGAAAATGACTTCAACCTGTGCTTCTCCAGTACATTCATCCCGAAATCTACAGCATAAACATTCAACCACATCCGGGACATCTGTGAGGCAGGAGTCACGGAGATCCTGCATTGCCGTTCATGGAGTGGTGACCAGAAAACAGATCAAAGTGGACAGTCAGAAAAAAGGAAAATAAATTGTGACTACTAAGATAAAAGTTCACTTATTGTCAAGAATTATATGGTAATGTTTTTCAGGGCAATATAATCACTTATCTCTAATATGGAATCACAATACTTTTGAGGATAAAAAGAAAATTGTTTTTCTCAGTTGCTCATTTTACTATGAATAAAACTAATTGAAAAACCATATGAGAAATGACACAATTATTTTTTCTTTGTTTTTTGTTTCTTTTCTGCAAATTTCATAATTGTAGAGGAGCAATTTGAAAGGAAAAAAATAAAGTAACTGTAGAACAAGTTGTCATGCAATAAAAACATACTTTAACTCCATTTCTATGATTGTTTTTTTTTAAATTAGTTTAAAATGACAATCATAATTCTATGGCCACATTTGGAAGCACAAGTTAGGTTAGCTGTTATGCATTTTTTGAAAAGAAAAGGAAAATTCGATTTTAGATTTTTCCTTCAAGCTATGGCAAGCTATTAATTTTGCCAAATTTGTTTTATCTGTAATGAGCTGGTGTCAATACACATACCGTATACATTTATACATGTATGTTATATAAGTCTTATTTATCTTTTGAGGTGGTGGATCAGTATATGTTTTCTTGGTCTTACCAACACGGTGTGTGATTAATATATATATATATGATGTAACAATGTTAATCTAAGGTGTATTAATCAACCTTAACATATCTGATTATTTAATTTGCATTATTGTTTTGATTGAGTTCTAATAGCAGGAAGATCTGCTTCAAATATGATGTCTTTTTGAAACAGCGCACAGAAATTACCACCGTGTCATATCTCATTGGTCCCAAAATATGAATTTCACCCAAAGAAACTTACAAGGTATTCTTATGGGCGAGATGGATATTTTTTCCCAAAATAGCCACTACACAATGAATGTAGGCTACACTATTATAATATGTTTTTCTAGCAGCAGTCGTGTTCCGTATGCATCATGGTGATGTTCAGTTAATGTTGTACTTTATTTCACTTGTTTTCATGGTAAAGGCTATATTATTGCCACCCTTGCCATCCCTCATGAAATGTTGTGTTAAACCTTTATCTATATATATATATATATCTATCTCAGTAGTTTAAAATTGATTTCTCAGCAAGTGTTTATTATTTTCTGGTCATTTTGTTAGAAGTTTCAAAAATTATGTTAGAGCTTCATGTCAGTAGATATATTATGTCATTGGCCCATATGAAATTTTTCCAGCTGAAAAACAACTCAAGGATACATTACATTAATCATTGTAGTCTTGCAGAGAGGTTGAAGTACTAAGTAAAACTGAAATGATAATAAAACTAAAACCTTGTACTGTAGAAGCTGATATTTCCGCGTACAGATATTTTCGCAAATGACAGGCTAAGAGACATTTTTCGCGAGACAGAATATTAGGGCATGAGGTATTCACAAACTTTCTCATGCAGACTCGTTCACATATGTACACACACAAGTTTAGGCAGCCCATCGCATCACATCCAGCCGAGTATTGTACTGGTACGTACAAGGATTACGTGCCTGCGTCATGTAATCTGTGCAATATATAGTACGCGCGAGGATATTTTTGAGCTCCGGTATGATGAGGTGCCAATATTTTCGCGTGTTGATAAAAATCGCGATAATATGAAATTCTGGAAAATAAAACCCTCGCAAAAATTAACAGCTTATACAGTATTTGTCAACTCATATTGAACTTATAACTCATTTTTTTAAAGTACGAAGTATGTTGGATGTGGAACAGCCTCAAAACAAGTGTGACAAATAATTATTACCTCTGACATGAAGCCAGTTTAACCAACGATCCTCTATGATTTTGATGTTTGCAGGCTTCATATTCTAAAAACCCTTGTTTGCATGAAATTTGATGGGAAATAGAAAGCCATCATCAACAACTCCATGTCTGTTTCATTGGGTATTTCATAAATGCTTGTGCATGTTCATCAAATGAAATAAATGTTTGAGGAGAACTAGTACTAGTTAGTTACCAAGAGTGTCATGCAGTAGTTACCATGTATTGTGTTTGTTGATATATAAAGGTTTACAGTCGTATTGAATTCAGAGCATATTATGTCAAAACCCACCTTTTTCTCAGGATGAATTGAACTCTCTTCATTCAGACATTATGCCTGAACATTTTTCTTGACCTGTGTTCTGAAGAGATCCTCAATATATTGAGTAAAAACAGAAATATCAGATCAAGTTCAAAAGACAGTCTAATGAAAAAAAAAAAGTATTCAGGAATATTATGCTCCTTGTTTATATTTATGTTCATAGTATTGCTACCTTCCCAGCAAGTCGCTATTGAGTGTACCATATGTAGATGAATACTAGAGAAACAAATCCAGTGAAAGTCTTTTTTTTTATGAGGGTTTGCCTTGACGTGATACTCTAAAGAAAGAGTTGTAAATTTGTATTTCTCTTCAGGGAAACAATTCCCTACATCTTTGTTATCCTTGTGAAATCACTAAAGGATTTCTTTGTTTTTAGAAAGTCATATGAAGAGACATTTCCCTATAAAATCATATATCATTTTGTTCAGTTGATTTCTCCTGTGACATATCACACATATTGTGTGGCTGAGTTTATGTACTGATGAAAACAAATGATTTTTGTTTGATAAAAACTTGGATATGTTGTAGTTCCTTGCCAGTTCATTCCAGGTTTTCTGATAAGTTGTTGTTGCAATAAATTTTTGTAAAAAAGAATTCTGAATGATTCATCTGATTTGTACATGTATATGGTATATGTAACTGCATGTACATAACATTCAAATGGGCCAATAAACATGCTCATATATAGAAGATGCCATTTACTGGGACCTTCTAATCTAAAATAGCCAATAGCCACCAAGAGCAAAGTTGACAAGCCGATAACAAATATTAGAGCAGTCGTAATGCTCCTACAAGATTTATGGGGTTATTCTGACTGTATACAATATATTTTTTTGGTAAAAGTAAATTGGGGCCTAAAATTATCAAAAAGAAGGCAAGCAGCAAGGTGTGCTTCTGAATAAGGTTCATGGTAGCTTTTAGTAGATCAAACAGTCTCTTGGCGGCTGATAGTAGGACCCAATATACTGCGTGCTCAAATAATAACTTACCGGTACTGCATATTTATCGCTGATTATATTATAAGAAGTTTTCAAAACACTTCTGGTGGTCATTTTTGCGAATACACCCCATCTCAATACCGGAGTCAAAACTCGTCGAACAGAAGTTTGGAGGGTGTAAGCTTTATGATTCATCTTTGAATGTAAAGATTTCTTTTCTCAAAATAATTTGAATCTGAAATGTATAATCTGCATGCATTGGAAAGTGATTCAGTACACAATAACACTGCTGCACCAGCGATTTCAGAACATCATTTATATTAATTCCAGAATCATAAATCTTATTGCCATATGTCTGGAGCCAGAAGAGTGTTGTACTCTGGTGTAAAATGATACTCAATGATGTCCTTCTGGGTCCAAACAGACAATGTATTTATGATATTAGACAGCTTACTCCAATTAGATTATACTTGCCAAATAGGTGGTACTCCCCTCGGCTTCACAATGTTCAGTGTTGAAAGTTAATAAGAAAAAAAAATACCAAACCTTTGCGCATTTATGGCAAGCCGTTTTTACATTTATTCCTATTTCTTGATATCAAGAAATGATTTTCAAGATTCAATTCTCGATATCAAGAAATAAGAATAAATGTTAAAACGGCTAGCCATAAATACGCAAGCCAAATACGCAAAGGTGTGACTGAGGCATAAAAGTAATAATAACTCATTTACAAGCAACTTTGGGACAAATACAAGATTTCTTTATTGACTGTCAAAGACATGATAATATATAATAATGTATAAAAAAACAACCAAGAAGATTGAAGCAAATTTCAAGCATTGACTATCTCAAGTAATTTCAACATTTCTATAACTTACATAGGTTTTACAATATCTTTGTGTGGCTTAATTAAATCCACTATTAACATAACACAATCTATTTGCTTTTCTCACATAGTTCGTGTGTACAATAATACCAGAACCCTTTGCCATTATGGCTTCAGGTCGCAAACATTAAAGAGAAGGTTGAGTTCTGGGAAGAGGTGAAAAATAATTTGTGAGCATTACTCATTCTTATTATGCAAGTGTGGAAGAACATCAGTTAAGACATGTTCCCTGAAAAGCATGGCTCTTCAAATGCCTTCATATTCTAAATATGCATGTAACATCGTAAAAATCGGGGGCCGCATTTTTACGCCACGTGTTCGTGTAGTCCCATATACATCTTTCTGTGTACAGTGTTTGTAACTTTACCAAGACTTGGCCAAATTTCTTATCATTTTGATGATTCCAGAACCTTGCAATACACACAAATTCTTATATGCTAGATGATCAACCTTTTCTGGTCGGTTCCACACCGTTTCTTTCACAATGCAATTGCATGACCAGAACTCAACTTCATCTTTAAGCACTTCAATCTTTTGTGAAACACAACTACATTTTTGAAATCATAAAGATATTGAGCTGTTTCAGAGTCGAAGGTTATTGTTTGGGTATAACATCAGAACCGATAATGATTAAGCTGGGATCTCCAATATGAAAAGAATACCTGCATGCAGTTTAAAGTGCTTAATAAGAAATATTGCTGATGATTTGAAATGTCGTTACTGGGTCCATCGTTCAAATGAATGGGCAATTATTCACAAATGAGATCCAATGATCACCAAGTATAATGAATATTGTGCTCAAAAGCTTTCAGGCTTCTTTGAAACGACTCTGTCACTACAATCTTCCTTAACATCAATAAAAATTTTGATATTATATATAAACTTAAAGAGAAGCAAGAATTTGTTTAGAATCTAGTTCCACTTTTTAGCCTTTCCAAAAAGGAATACTAAACAATACATGTTTTAGGAATATGTAGCATGAGCATTACAGAAAAAGAAAACAAGAAATGCACCCAATAATAATTAGCAGAAGACGTCATGCTGTCCTACATTTTTCTGTTACAGGTATTTAATTTCCAATTTGATAAAGTAAAGTACTTGTGACCTCACAGAAGCTTATAAATGCATGTGCATACGTCCAGAGGTGCTAATTGGACAAGTACAGGTAAAGTACTTTCTGTTTATAATTAAAGTGGAATCTATGTACTGAAATCTATTCCTTAGCTGTCAAAAGTAGAAGATTTTATCAGGCAAGTTAGTTATTGGTCCAAAAGAAAATAAGGATTGCAAGAGAACGCCTCTCATCTCTCGTCTTTCCCTAGGGGTTTTCCAAACAAATTAAAGGAACTTTTAAAACGATCTGAAAAGAAAACAATATTTCTCAACAAGAATACATAAATATAAATATCTTAAATCCTCGAATGTCTTAATGCACAAGAATACTGAGGAAAAATTCATACATGCATATTAAAATTGACTAGTGATGATTATACTGATGTGCTGGCTTTTGCCCTTATAACTCTAATGAAGGCTTGATATATATTTAGTGAGTACTATTTGGTTTCTCTTCTGAAACACATCTCAATTATAAACTTTCATTTACAGAGCCTGTATAATTAACAAACTAATTTTGAAATGGGTCAATTCCATCCTCTTAATGATGTTCCATAGTAATATTTGTGCCCACCTTAGCTCAGCAGAGTCACCTGATCATGTATTTACTATGCACAATACCAGGAATTCCACATGTTATGCATGGTGGATACATAACCAAGTAAACCTGTGCAGCCAATGTGCGCACACACATGATGGTGGTATGTCCTTAAATGAAAAGAACAACCACTTCATTATGTACACTTGCAATAATTTTCGTTATAAAAGGGCAGGATTTTATTTTGAGCCTTATCAGTGTTCTGCAGTACTAATTGTAGAAACATATTTTGACAATAAAAATCACAAATTTAAAGACTGCTTTAAATCAAACCCCAAGATCACTGATAATTAAGATTATCACATCAAGTTTGTTTGCTTGATTAGCACTCAATTCCTCTTTAATTATAAAATGTGTAAAAAGATGGCTAAACATAAGCTTTATTCAACAAATCTTGCTTACAAATTGTATCTAGGAGATAGAAATCTCTCCATATTGACAGAAAGTTGGAAGATGGCTTCAGAATTGGCCGTTTGGTGGCATACTGGCATTATAAGTTATACATGTAATACCAAAGGTAAATTTTGTTGGCTTAATCAATGCAGTAATTCAAATAAAAAGAAGTTGAATAGTTTTTAGTGCATAAAGACACAGAAAAAGAAAATATATGACAGTGGCTCGTCCAATTTTCACAACAATATATTTTAAAGATGAAAGCTATGGTAAACTCTGTAATTTCTGCTCAAGAACTCCCACAGCTATACAACATAACATCAAAGTCATTGATTTGTATTCTAAACTTCAAAATACAAGCTGGGTGTAAGTTGTCTCTAACATCAACAAAGGAATAACTTATTTGATTGATAACAAGATTGGACCCTATAAAGGCTGGGGAGGGGGTAGAATCCACCCTTGCCCCCATATCTTTGATATCAAAGTTATATACTTCCATGGGTACAGTGAAACATCGAAATTCATCGCACTTTGCAAAGCCCAAATGATAATTTCCCTATAAATTATGTACTGTACACAATGCAGAATTGTTACAAGCGGATATGTGAATAGTTAATTAGTAATCATGCTGTATCAATATGCCAAGTTTAAGAATTGTTCATCATTATTTGACCAAGATTTCAAGGGGGCACCCCCCCCCCCCCCTGGTTGAGAGAGTACCCAAATAACCCAGCATTTAGGGTTAATACAGTACAATTTGAATATGGTTTACTTTACACCTTCCCCTCCCCCCCACGAGCTACTCCCAAATCACCATTCATTTTGCATAGAAATCATTGATGTAAGCCGATGATGAAGCTGCATATGGCACTTGAATGACACTTGAATGACGCATAGAAAGCAAACACAAATTACAGATACAAGGTTGCAATAAGCAGTCCCACTTTGCCTATGAGGTATTAAACCAAGATGCTAATTGACCAATTCACTACTTTATGAATCCTTTTTAAACGAAGGTTGCTTTCTAAATATAGCATAAGAAGGAATGCTAGGTGGATTCCACCCACAGAGATGCTACCATACATAGTAGGTGCAATAAATAGCTATTTACTCCCATAATGCGGGCCACATCTAAGATTTCAGTATATCTGATGACTGTATCAAGCTCATAGCCCTACTAAATTATGAATCAGACAAAACATCAAATAAATTGATATTTTTAGGTAAATCAACAGTTCAATAATACTTGGTAATATGTGACTTACCTAGAAATTGCCATGTTAATTGTTCTATTGAGCAAGCGACACAAACCATACCTGCGAGTTTGATGCATCTTTACAAATCATTTTTTAATTCGGGTATTTGAAATAGGATGTTTATACCAGTAGTGTACATTTCTAGGGGTAATTTTTAAAGGGCTTTTAGCATCTGAAGCATTTGCAATCACACATAGTTCATTCTCAATATAAACTGGGCACACCATGATTTTTCTAAATGCCTCCTTGTAAAAAGAGTTTGTTTCTTTCTTTCCAATTAGATATTCAAATACACCTTGCAGCTATACTAGCCTTGACTCTATATCAATAGCAATCAACATCTAAACTTTTGCTACATTTCTTCAGATTTCAATGTTTTTTCAGTATCTCAAATAATAAATGCTTTTTTACATGGACGATATTCATTCAAAAGCAATATTTCAATTTGAAAATCGTCAGACATCGCAATCTCCAAAGACAGTACTCTGTGATTGAAAGTATGAATCAACATGGTAGCTGACAACGGCTTACCTGACATAGCAACGAATTGAACTGAACAACCACTATTCTTTGAGACTAGGCACACACACACTTACACGTGAGGCACATTGACTTTCACATTGTCATCTTAGATGAGAGCTGAGAAAACACTTGAGGCAGGAAAGACATTTAGTGGCCAACAAACAAACGTGGTCAACATACAGCTCCTTGGAGCACTTCAACACTGTCTCTGTCATATATACATGTATGACATGAAATTCACTGACATTACTAGCAACTGCTATAGGTGGGCTGAATTTACATAAGCTCCGATTCTGTCTTTTTTATTGAGAGTCAAATTCCATTGCAAATATTACAATTACAATTTCATTCACACCTATTCCGAATTTATACTTTAAAATCAACCATGTCGAATCCTGCAAATTCAGGTTAACAGGCTATTTGGTTACGAAGACAAAAGTTATAATTTGAGAAAATCTTATTCAAAACACCAGAATAAGTTTGGATGCTATCTGCTGCAAAAAGCTGCCATTGTGTTGTCTTGACATGTTTGGCTGTGTGTTATACTCTACACTGTATTATAGAATGAGTTAGAATTGAATGTAGTGGAGCTGACAACAATATGGCTACAAAGCAAGAATTTAATTTAAATTGCCCTTCATGTAATATTACCTGAAATTCATTATTTCCCCAATTTATTTATCAGCCGTACGAAAATTTCCTTCAAGAAATTGCAAGAATACTACATGTAACTTTGGGATGTTAAAGTAAATATCAGGCCTGAACACCAGAAATTGAAGTTTGAAAATTGAAACAACAAAAAATCAGGAGAGAAAGCTAGGAGAAAAAAGAGAGATAAAGAAGCAGAGAGAAATAAACAAAGAGGGAAGGGGTATAAATTAAAATTTACAATCTTTACAATATAATTCATGGAGACAACACAGCTGAAGTGATCAGATATGGCTTGTTTTGTTTTTAAATTACACTATAACCCACATCACACACACTCACAACCACACATAAATTGTATCTCTTGAAGAAATTGAGTCTTCCTGTGGGGAGAAGCTAGGCAGGCTGACAAGGCTGATGAGTGCACCTACTATAGGCAGCTAGCTACAGGTGATCATCAGTGCTTGAAAATGGAACTCGGCGATCAGGCTCAGTTTTTTCACAAGAGTCTTCTCTAGGATTCCTTGACAAACTTGCACCAACGTCACCTTCAAGTTTAATCGTCCTCTCTCTAACTGCTACCAGCCGCGAACATATTCCAAAGTTAAGGGCATTCACTGTTTTTCTATTTATTACGAGGAGCAGAGGGCTCATGCTAGAACGATGCCTATGCTTCCTAGAACATGTTTCTCAGCATCATTGACATGAACGGCAAACTCTCTATGGCACTGGTGCTTAGACAGCTCCACTAAGTAGTCCGTTAAGAATGACTGGAGGGGAAGGAAGTCAAGGACAGAATAATACATGACTGGCTTTAATTGTATGGCATTGTATTTCAGGCACATCAAGTGAGGGCATTCTTTCAACAAGTGTAAAGGCACACACTAATGTGTTAGTGCAGTATATAAGATGATGACATGGATCTTAATCAAATGATTGATTAAAAGCGTACAAGAGACCAGGCATTTAGTTTGCCTAACACGTAATTTGTATAATGACCGGTCATTATCCAATTCTAATCGGTCATTAGTAAAATCATGTTATAAAACATAATTTTATAAAACAAATAAAAACATAATCTTATAAAACATATAAAAACATAATCTTATAAAACAAATAGCAATCATTTTGTTCAGGCATTAGTAAAATTACCCACACTCAGTACCTTCAAAACAGTCCAAACACCCTTGGCTACCTCTTGGACGTGTTAGACCGTTCCAAAGGTACCTTGTGTGGGTAATTCTTACTAATGCCCTCACTGCTGTGTATTATTTGTATACTATCAATTTCATGAAATATGGAAGGTAAGGAGTTAATCAATTGAAAAGAAACGGGTATAAATGTTTTTTAGAAAGGTTGCTTACAAAATAAAGAGTGGAATTGTAGAGTGGAAATTCATAGACTCTGGCTAAGACATCAATATCTACTGTTGTACTGGATCCAAACTGATTTGGGGAGAAATTCCATCACTAAATATCCTATATTCATAATCCATAATCCAAAAGCTATTAGCAATGATATCATACAAACTATCTACCATCTCTTACCACCTCCTACTTTGGAGATGCATCAGGGGAGTGTTCCACAAAGACTAAGATCGACTTTAAGTTGGACTTAACTATGGCAGGCCGTTCGTGGCGCTAGTTCCACTAACCATTCCTGGCATTGCTTTCTCAAGGGACGTACCAAATTGTGGTCACAAATCTACATTTTTTGATAGTTCATTATTGAAGGAAAAAATATTATCAAAGATCATAATTGAGAGACCAATGGTGAGAGCAACCAGTGGCATGAATGGCCTGCCATAGTTAAGTCCAACTTAAAATTGATCTTAGTCTTTGTGAAACACTCCCCAGATCTCAATAATATCACACTTTTCTCAGTGGTATGGTGATATGTAAAGCTTGCAGACCTTACCTGTAGATCTACTTGATTGAGAGGGTCTTCCAATGCATCTGGATCATCTTCATCATCTGGGTCATCATCCTCAAAACAATCATAACCTGAACAAACAAAATCATAGGGAGCATATCATAATATCAGTCTAGAAAGGACAACTACATTAGGGTGCTAGTGCCTTTGAATATTAAAGAGGCTTATTACTTAACATCCCTATGACAGATCTGCCACACCTTATGAATTTAACAAAATGATCATAACTTGAACAAGAAGATGTGAAAATTTGGTTAAATAGTTAGCATAGTAGTGTAGGAGCCATAAGTTGGCAGATATGATCTTAGTCAAGGTCCTAGGCCTTTTTATCCATAAAAGTTTCACATTTATATGTTAAATCTGATCACAGCCATTAAATTCAACAATTTGAGTAGCTTATAACAATTATTGTGACTACTTATTTATATCAAGTTTTATGAACTGGGGCCCTGGTATCCATGAAGTTCCAACTTTTACCTACCACAGATTTGATAATTTTTTAAAACTTGACACTTGCTTTGACACTTGTTATAGAAAGAGACTTCATTACCTAAATGTCAAAAAAGAAAAAATGTCAGTATGGTATAGACTAAATGTCATGGGATGAAGTCTGAAAACAGGGCTCTACACTGATAGGGGTAGAGTTCACATGCCCCTAAATATTAATCCAGACCCCTATAGTTTGAAATTTAAACATGGTGCCCAATATAAATGGACCAGAAAAGTGAAAACTTTTAATTCAGACCCCTGTGAAAGGCGTTAGTGTTTAGCTCTGTTTTTTGGGGTATGAGGTAAAAGAAAGAGGAAGATACTTCAAAAGCAAATTCTCTGTATATCTTCCTAAAATCCTGGGCAGATTTTGGCATCCATGGCACCGAGAGGGTTCAATCTAACATACCTGGGTAAGCATCGGTGAAGTCTGTAAGCTGTCCAGCCAGACCATGTTCATTGATCATAACATCATCATCCTCTTCCTCTTCCTCTTCATCTTCCCAACCATCATCCTATTCAAAGAGAAAAAGAAACTTTAGTATTTGTTGACAGAATTACAATTCATCCAAACATAATGTTATCTGAGTTGGTAGGAAAAGAGACCTGGGCCCTGTCTTACAAAGAGTTGTGATTGATACAAGTAAATCGCAAGTCTTCTAATCATTCGCAAGTTTGCAGTCTCGTATCTCTTATGTACATATTTGCAAATAAGTTGTGATTGATATCAACTCTTTGTAAAACAGGGCCCAGGAATGTTGAAGTCCTATACCACATTAATTAAATTAATTAATTAAAGAGAAAGAAGATCTTAGAATCATATCTTGATACAAATATACATTCAATCCTAAAATAATATTCGATTTGGGTAAGCACAGAGATGTGGTATTTTTAATTTTCATATAATTTAGAAAATTAATGAGCTTCATAAAATCAGTCTTTCTAATAATACTTAAATATGCTGTTAACCTACTTCTAGATCCTCTCCTCCAGCTGATGCTTGCCTGGATGTTGTCGTTTCCATGGCGTTAGATAACTCATTGATCAACAGCTTATAGATTTTGACATGGATAGGTATAGATGTCCACTGCTCAGGCACTATACAAAAAAAAGCGGGAAATTGGATGCAAAAAAAAACACAAAAACGGTTCAAATAATAACTTGATAATAATGTTCAATTGATATACGGTAACACATAACCACTGTTTTTTTAATCTCTATGCACTTAAAATAAACTTGGTTTGCCTACACATATCATAGTGAAAATACAGCACTATGGCAGGAAAGGAGTCAGTCTTCAGTTTTTTTATCAAAATATCAAAAGAAGACATTTTGGCCATTATTATTGGCAGAGAAATCTACAGGGCAAGGCACGGAATTGGTCCAGTTCCACAAACAGTTCTAAAATAGCATTTGGACCCCCAAATATGAAATATACAAATGGACCTAGTGCAAACAGATTCACAACATGTAGCTCTGGAACTCCAGGGAAATAAATTGTGTGGAGCTCAGCTCATGGAATAGTTTCTTACTTTGAGCAGCTTTTGACCTGGTCCTGATACCCTCTCCTGGTGTGAAGACTTGATCTCCTCGTACCATGATACCATGAAGTCTCACATCATTGGTGGTGATAGCATGTTCTAACAGCTTCCCCAATGCCATGATGCTAAAATAAAAGATCAAACATTTCATAAAAAGGTTGTCATATGCTGAGAGAATGTCCTATTTCTAACATAATTTTTTGTTCATTTTGCATACTTTCAAACAGAACAAACAGCTCTCCATGCAGAGGAAAACGCAATAATGAATACATGATAAATATGCATAACACACACAGTCAAACAGCTTCAGCAACCATTTGTCCATAAAGAAAGCCATTTGGTATATCTTGAGTTAGATTTCTCCTTGAAAGCTTTATCAAAGGGAACTTGACCACTGTTCACCAGGGCCTGGTTTCTTGAAACCATCATACCTGCACATCTAAGTTTATTGACTTTCTATTGAATTGCGTGTTAGTTCTATATCACGCATCTCAAGAAAAAAAGTCAGTTGACGACAGTTTTGGGAAACTAGCCCTTACATTATATACACTAATTTAGTAAAGTGGTCACCACAATTAAAACTTGACAGTATCAACAAATCTCTCATCCTACCATTGTTCTCACACTTTTGTACATTTGAATGTATGCTTTGGCACAGCTCGCGGGATGTGACGTGTTTACCTGATTTTGCTATCATAGGCTCCGTAGAACATGATCTGCCTAGCCACCCAGTCTGTGAGGACGTAATGTAGCGCTGGTTTGCCTGTTGGTCCAGGAACATTGACTAAGAATTCTAGGACATCATCAAGTCTGGTGTGCATCAGATGGGCAAAGACCATGATCAGAGACTGATGGTTGTCATATAAACAAAAAAAAGAGAGAGAGAGAGAAGAGAAAGAGAGAGAGAGGTGAAAGAAGGAGAGAGAAAGAGATGGGGAGGGAGAGAATAAGAGACAAGTCAGAGATAGAAAATGAAAAGAAAGAATGAAAAGACAAAGATACAGTGACACACAAAAGAGGAAATATAAAGCAATGATTATAAAATTGGTCTTATCCAATCCAATCCAAAAGATATTTGATAAAGCGCCTTTTCCTTGCAGTTATAAAGCGCTGCACACACTACAGAAAATAGAATAATATTACACTAACAAATCTACAGGATTTCCAGATTTAATACTGTGTGAAAAAAGTATCAAAATTGACATAAGTGAACATCCCCCCCCCCTCCCCCCCCCAAAAAAAAATAATAAATAAAAAAAAATCACATCATGCCTTGAGGTCTTGGAGAAATAAACCCTGGCTTCAACAGAGCTGATGAGTAGTTTTCTGAGAGTACTTCACTTAGTATTAATCAGTCTTACTAAACATCCCCACATGAAAGAGAGTACACAGCCTTACCTGCGTAACGCTTAATGTCTCAGCAACCTGCATCTTGCTTAGGACGGCTCTCAGAATCAGATCCTGGTCATCACCAAGCGTGTTCCCTGCTCGAGATATCAACATGGCTACAAGACGGCCGACGTACGAGGCTGTATACTCTGACGTCTGAGGACTGAGTAACCTAGATATGACCTGGCAGACATAGTAGGTCCCGCTGTTGCCAGGCTCGTCACGCCATGCTTGCACCTGGCCTAGTGACACAGAGATGTAGCCTCGCATGCACTCACCACCACTCTGCAAGAAGCAAATGTTTTTTAAAATGAAATGGCTACAATCCAACAATCCCTTCCAAGGCTTAAACGAGGGAGATGGTCGTAGGATTTTCATTCAATGGAATATAATGTTTTCTATGCTATTATTATCCTTTCCTCCAAAAAGCCAATAGGATTGAAATCTTTCTTGTGCAGTTGGATATGTGTAGCATTTCATTCATATTTTTTTGTTGCAAAAAAATGAAATTTATTTAGGAAAGAGATGTGGAAAGTGTTCAACAAAAGTTTAGACAATTTTCTTAAATATAAATAATGCCTGAAGTATTCAAATTGTTTAAATTTTATTACCTTCTTCTACTTTGTAAAAGTTAAGATAAAGAGTAAAATCTAAATTTCATGATATATTACCATGGATGGACAAATGGTGTTGAATTCACCAACAACAAATATTTCAATACCTGCATAACAGCACTGTCATCTGCTCTGAGAGTACAGTGAGCTACAGCTGGGAAAGCCTGTTTCATGAGAAGGTCTGACAGAGGGACAGGAGAGCTCCGAACTATTGTACACAAGATGTCAATAGCAGCCTGCAAGCAAAAACAAAATATTCAATCTCATTAAATATATAAGACCAAACAGTTTTTACCAAATCTGATAGTTGTTAGCTATGTCAATGTTACCTTGATTTAATTTATTTTATTTTTTAAATTAAAAAAATCATTTTAGATTTTCACCTGCTTGTATGTAGGCTGAATATCCTAAATATTTTTTCTTCTGGCTTGCAAATCTCAAAGAACTTGAAGTAAAAGATAAAAATTAAATATAATTATTGCTACAGACTTCCTGCTGTAAACTAAACAAAACAAGTATTAATTTTAAAAAGTATTACCAAATCTCAATTGGCCCAGAGATCAGTGACTCAATTTGTCAAATTAAAATTGTTCCATGTAAGAATATATGGTTGCATGACACATGCTCCTACGACAATTGCTCTGTGGGAGTTTTCCTACAATAATTGAAATCCTAACTTTAACCACAGACAAAACCCTAACTCTAAACCTGACCTAAAACTCGATTGCATCCCTTGCCCCAACCCTAAACTTTAAATGAAACAAATACGCTATCAAAATCAAGCATGGAAGCTCACCACTGAATTGGGTCATTTTATCATATACATGTCTTTCACAAAGCAAACTTACCGACTGAATGCCCATGGGAACTTTGTCAGAGGCAGCGTTGAAGATACTAAGGAGCGTTGGTATTAAGCGTTCTTGAAGCTGTTGTGAACACGCTGTGTTCCGACACAGCTCTTTGTAGATGTCTTGAACTAAGGATATTAATAAGGGGTCTGAAAGGCAAACACAAGTACGCATATCTTGAATCAGCAAATAGAGTCTCATTTATGAAAATGAATAAGTGCATGAAGCCTCCCTCCCTTACAAAAAACATACTTGCCTCTTCCTCTCGCTCCTTTCTTCCTAGATGGGGGAGAGTGGTATAAATCGAACGGCAATCAGAAGACTGGTGTGAATCAGCGACACTTGTCTTCATGGGCAATTTTATAATCTACACAAAACTAAAATTGAACACGTCCAACTTGTCTGTTAAGATTTCAGAACTGCCTGTTTGGAATCAGTACGGCATGTCCCAAATAATATCTCTTGTATAAAACGTATTTTTATCTGTACTGTCCTGGGCAGTGTTTCACAAAGACTAAGATTGACTTTAAGTTGGATTTAAGTATGGCAGGTCATTCATGCCAATGGTTGCTTTCACCATTATGATCTTTAGATAATTTCCTTTCCTTCAATAATGAATTATCAAAATGTGTAAATTCTGTAGATTTGCGACTAAGATTTGTACATCCCTTGAGAGACCAATGTCAGTAAATGGTGAGAGCAAACAGTGGAATGAACAGCCTACCATAGTTAAGTCCAACTAAAAGTCGATCTTAGTCTTTGTGAAATACCCCCCTGGAAGTTAAGGAGCTACTGACCTTGGCTATACTTGAGGAAGACTGCATTTGCCAGAGGAGTGACCCGACTCTCACACTGTGCTGTAAAAGTGTCATCTATCTACAAAGCAAAATCAACAGTTCAGGGTCAAATTATTTTCAGTAAAGTGCTACCCATTCAAGCACATGATAAATTAGTTTCAAAATCACCAGAAATTCATATATTCTATACAAATGAAAGCATATTTCATGGTTTAATAATTCATCACAGCCCCAATGTTTAGAATGAGACATCCAGAAACCTGTTCTTTGCTCTACAAGTCCCAAAGGATAACACTTATATTGATTGGCTTTAAAAAAAAACTTTTTCCTGTACAAATGCACTCTACAAGTGCATTGCATATTTCAATACCCTGGTTTTAGTCCATATCAGCTCACAGAACATTTCACTGTATAAATTCAAAGTAAAGTAAGGTATAAGTAAGCATAAAGATAAGTAATCCGAAAATTCTCAATTTCACCCGTTTATGTAACTTGTTACAATGAACTTCAGAACATGGAAGATTTCTTTCTACCGTATGCTAGGTACTTACTGTAAGTACGATGCTAACTGTCTCCAGGACGAGGGAGAGGATGTCTGAGCCGAACTGAGAGCAGGTAGCCAGCTGTACCAGACCCTCCATGATGGGTGTTAAGAATGGAATCAAGATAGAAGTACTGTTAGCTCCCTTGAGGTGCTCACAGAATCCATAGATGGCACGCACTGCAGATATCCTTACCGAAGGAGGGTGGGGGTCGTGGAGACCGGTCACTGTGAATTGTAAGAAACTGAGGGAGGAGAGAAGACTTTAGATTTCGCTGTCAGCCTGGAACATTCTTTAAATCTAGAAATGCGAGGATATTCCAGGATTTTATTATGATACTTGGAATTCGATGAATTGTTGAACTTTTTATTAATTTCTGCTTCCTTCTTACATACTATTCCGATCAGACAAAGTCGAAAGCTCATGTATATCTTTAAGTTTCATTTTCTTTAAGTAAATAGCAGGCTAGGTTGTTGGCATTGGTTTCATAGTGATTTCACATATACTGTAATAATAACATACATTTTCACAATAAATGTGTTCACCAAATCTTATTTAATATTGTATGGTGTCTTTAAAAATCATATGAAAAGGAATGCATAATAAACATAAGGATATCAATGTAATTTCATCAGTCTTTTTCTGATATATTAATTCTTGAGATGCAAACATCCATGACGGACACTATTATCTATTTTTATGATGGATAAAATATTGCTCTTTGGGTTTGTGTGTAGACGCTGCAGAATGTATCAATAGCACAATTTCAATATTAAAAAAGAGAAAAGAGAAAAAGAATATCACCTTTGAACTAACTCTGGCGTCATAGCTTGTGAATATCTACTTGCCATCCATAATGCTCTGCCTAATAAAAATGGTGATACTGCGGTGCAGAGAAAGAGAGAGAGAGAGAGAGAGAATTTACATGATCACTTAATTGCCAATAATTTTGTAAATAAATTTATTGAAAAATAAATAACTTATTTTAAATTCAACCGATCATGCAATATACCATACCAAGTTTGTAAATGTAATTTCTTTTCATAAATTGTCAAGATATGAAAAAATCCTGAGATACAATCTCGGCAATAACTTTGAGGAACAAAATTCACAATCATAAATGTTTTCCCTGTTAAACTATCAATATATGGCAACAAAATCTTTGTAAAGTATACATGAAAGAAATAGTTTCTTAAAGAATTCTTACCAGTTTGCTGAAGATCTTCTAGAACAATTGTTGTGAGGAATCTGGGCAAGTTGAATGTGAGTTTGCCCTTGCCTACTTTGTCTATGATGAGAGACTTGATAGAACCTAACCCTAGTAAACAGGCTTCATGTACCTTCCACCTAGGAATAAACAACAGAGAAACATTTAAAATGAATTAGATTAGAGTTTAATGGATAAGCTCTTGCATGAATGAATTATATTTAAATATGAGGACAAGGTGACAAGAAATCATACTTTAATATCGTCAAGTTATTGAGCAAGGCAATCGCTAGATTATGTCTCGCCTACCTGTACCCAAATAACATGAATGTCACCACATCTTCGACACAAGTGTGGTTTCACAGTGAACAATGTCATAAGAGAGTCTTGTAGGTAAAACCTAACCTACAACATTTAACCTAAGGTAATCTGACCCAAGTTTGGTCATGACATGATGAACGGTCACCAAATTATTTGGATCTCTAAGTCTTGACTCCACCTTGGGTTGGTGAGGCAAAACACAATGCAAACTCAGATAACGTACATCTGGGATTATTTCCAAAATTAAATGTCACATCGGTATCATATTATCAAGCAAGACATCACTTTAACACACTCCATTTTCTACTCTTTGGGGCTATATTCAATGGTTACAGCAATTCAGAATTGTATAGAATCACATGAGATTAAATGCTCATCTTACTAGTAACATTATATTTAATCAACTAGGCGGTAATAGTATCAGCCTAGAATTTCAGAATCAATACAAAATTAACCTAGAGGTTAAGGATAAGAAATGCATGACCAAATAATATTTTGACTGACCAATAATTATGCCCTTGACTCTTTGCTTGCTCAGCCTCTTGTAGATGTCTGTCTAGTGCTGCCATCAAACCATGAGAGGTTTCTTGAGGAAACTCACTACCTAATGACTAAACAATGATACAAAGATAGAAAAACATGAAATAAGTAGTGTGTGGGAATTAACTATTAAACTGATATAACATGATATGCAAAATAAAATACATGAAAATACATTAAATTCCCACACCCAAGGCGGTATCTCATTAAGAGTCGCAATACATCCAAGCAACTAATATAATTCTTAATTAATCTACCAATCGCGATAAGAGAAAATTGTAAATATGTGATTAATTGGGGTAAAGAATATTTGCAAACTTTATAACAAGAAGCCCCCATTTATGTATTTCTAATCTTTACACAGTGCTAAGAGACAATGATGACTACTATTGCCGAAACATCAAATAACAGAGTTATTAAATGAATGATGTTGGAAAGCATGTTTCATCTTCTAGAAATAATGTACAATGTCACAACTATTGAGCACATTATGGAAGATGATTTGGAAACAGAAGAAATCAATCTTCTCTCCACATATTTACAAAACAGCCATTGCCCAATACTCACCAAAAGTAGATCTTGAGCTGAGATCCGTACACTATATGAAAAAGTATCATCGTCTTCATCTTCAACAAACTGATTGGGATCTGCTGTCCACTGGTAAACCTACACATCATGGGAGAGAAAATGAAATACAGACAGGATGCAAAAGAAAGGCAAAATTACTAGAAAGTAGATGTGAGAGCTACATGTACATACACCTGCATTATAAGAAAACTTCATTGTGTTATCATAACTAAATGACTGCAAGAAATGGAAAGTTAAAGAGAAGGTTCAGTTCTGGGAAGAGGTGAAAAATAATTTGTGAGCATTATCATTCTTATTATGCAATAGTGGAAGAACATCAGATAAGACATGTTCCCTGAAAAGCATGGCTCTTCAAATGCCTTCATATTCTAAATGTTATGTAACATTGTAAAAATCTAGGGTAGGATTTTTACGCCACGTGTTCGTGTAGTCCCATATACATATTTCTGTGTACAGTGTTTGTAACTTTACCAAGATTTGGCCAAATTTCTTATCATTTTGATGATTTCAGAACCTTGCAATACACACAAATTCTTATATGCTAGATGATCTAGTCGATTCCACACTTTTTCTTTCACAATGCAATCGCATGACCATAACTCAACTTCATCTTTAATGAGTAGACTAAATTTGAAGATTATTTCTCAACACATTATTATGCTAAATAGTCTAAATGGTTATCATTTGTCTACATATACCTCAGAGTTCTTTACAGGTAAATAACTTTTGGATATGGTAGAAAACTAGTTCACAGTCATCATCTATTTCATTGTATGAAAACTTTGAATTCTGACATCATTACTCAATAGTCTGACCGGTAAGCTTTCCATATGGCTCCAAATATGTGTCAACATACCTGTTCTTCTGTGATCTGCATGTAAAGGACCACATAGTAGAGAAGCTCATCACACAGCTTACGTACAGTCCCTCGGAACTTGGGCGAGTCGATCATGGCAGATACAAAGTCAAATATACTGAATACAAGGTTCTCAAAGCCTAACACTTCACCTGAAAAAGAAAAGAAAAACACAATAAAGAAAAATGAATGAAGGGGTCACTTAATCACAATTAGCACATTCTTCTTTACCGTAACTAACCTATGCATTAAAATTGATTAATTATTTGAATTAATTTCACTTAAACAAATCATTCATTCAATTAAACTGAATTAAACTATAAATTCCTGCAATCAGACATTATTGACAATAGCTGTGTGAGACTGATTATTAGTAGAAACTGTGTTCAAACGAACATACTTGATCAAACACTTGCAGTTCTTTCAAGAAAAATTCAAGAGACAAATTAGTGACCCAAGATTTGCTCATGCAACAATTGCTTCGTGTTTATTTTATGAAAGATATAGAAAAGTTAGGGTTATGGTTGCAACGGGTGTAAAGTATAGTCTAGGGTTAAGCTATGGTCACAAAGGTTCATACGAATGATTATTTCGTACGAATCTCCGTTTTTCCATTGTCTTCCCGAATTTCCATTGTCTGAAAATCGTTCGTACGGTGTTCGTAGCAGTTCGTAATCGTATTTGTGACCGAGGCTTTAGGTATAGTATTAGGTCCAAGGTTGAAGTTAAGAATTTTGTTAGTTTATGGACTGAGAAGAAATTTTTGCCATGTCATAAAACGGACAAATCTTTACCATCTGAATCAACGGGATCATCCGCTTCTTCTGTATCGTTGATGACGGTCCTGACATAGGTGTCAGCGCTATCTGTGAGAGTCTTCCATGTTGCCTGGAGTACAGCTGGCATGGACTTGGCAATCTGACCAGGGAAACACTTCACTATCACTGTCAGTGCCTGATCAGATAGACAGGAGATCAGCAAACAAATTCAGTCAGTGTCTATTTCTGCTAATGTACACACTTCTTTTTCAAGCTTTTGTACTCTAAAAATTTTAATTACACATATTGAAAAGAAGTTCTGACAACCAGACGTTTTTAGACAATCATGGCACTGCATCTTATTTTTGTGGACAAATAGTATTGAATATGATAAATTGAGTTTCATGCCAATGGGGTGATTCAGTGAAATGTGTCTTGAAAAGCAGGGTTTTTATTTGTTCATTTAATAATAATTGAGAAATCTTTTGATGATTATTAGGATATTTCTGGTATTACTACACTTAGCCATTGGTCAAACCAAGAACTTGAAGGATAAGAAACTTATAAGAAAAATATTTTATGGAATTAACCCTTGGCATTTAAAACAAAATATAAATAATCAGCTTTGGATATAAATAGAGGTTTATGAAAACAATATTCTATGTCTGTCTGTATATCTGTCTGTATCTCCCTCCCCCCTGTGATGTCACTATCATCTCACCTTTATGATTTCTTTCTTGAGACCACTATCTAACACAGTTTCATCAGTCACAGTCAAAGCCTTTACAAACTCCTCCATGAAGCCATTCAAGACTGGATATAACAACTTCTTGGCTGCTCCCTGTCAATGTGAAAGGAAATGCATGCATTCAATCAGCTGAAACAGAAAAGCTAGAGTTTTAAGTAATTATCTATGATTTTAAAGTTGACCACAGTTATTACATTCAACAATCACTAAAAGCAATCATGATTCCATTATTTGTGATCTCTGAGAGAGGAATATATTCTGAATCTAAACAAGTAAGTCATACTTTAGCAAGTGATTATTCTACAACGTGTAATATGCAATAATAAAATATATCAAACAATTCTTTTAAAGGCTTTAAATATTATTCTATTGTTAATAAATAATGAAAAAGGATTACAAAAAACAATACTTAAAGTATCAATTTATGAAAAAGTCAAGAACTTTAAATTTTGTAAAAGAAAATATGTTGAGTCAAATTGTAGAAAAACACAAAATGTATGTAACCCTCAATTCTAATGAATGAAATTTTTCATGGATAAAAAATTAATCCCAATAATCCCAATTACCAATAAGGTAACATTTCAACTACACAGCACTACAGGTTTATCAAAAGATGGGCATGACAATATTTACAAATGATCACAATATCTTGCCTCCCATCAGGAATTTTCATACATAGCATTGAGATATTCATATTACCTTTGCCATAGAGGCAATGTTGTAGATTAGGGTCGCACAAGTGTTGAAGATCTCCACCGCCCTGGCTCGGGTTCGTATCGTGTATGTGTCACTCTGAACAAAGATGCGATGCATTTCAGGTAGAATGACAGGTGCTACATGCTCCATCTGGGTGTCTGAAACTTCTCTTGTGAATTCTAGGAACAAAAAATAAAATATTGATAAATGCATGTTACAAATACTTCCTAAAAAGTATTAGAGGTTGAATAATCAGAATTGCAAAAACAGGTCTAACAGTGTCTACTTGTGAAATTTATTTACAGATGTTTCATTGAACCACTAGTAAGGATCTATTCAATTCAACTTATTATTACATACCTCTAAATTTAGGCCTGGGACTAATACTCGAATATTCAAATAGCTCACCGCTGTACTTGAATACTGTGAATATATCATTACAAGTACACTCTCTTTAAAGAATATCTACAGCAGCTTGACACCAATAGAAGTCCATATCTCATGCCCCCTAGAAAAAAGTAAACAAATAAGCTGGATGCCAATGCATAGTGAAAAAAAAAGTTTCTATCTGGACCTCCTGTGAAAACAATAGGGTGGAGCCTGGGTATACAGTATCATAACAAGGAATGACAATTTCTTGGTTAATCAATCTCTGTCTATCCAACAATTCAATCTGTACTGGTTCTTTGTATCTGTTTCCTAGTTTGTAATCATAGCCTTGTTCTATTGTTTTGTAGCTTTATTCAAATTGTTGAAGTAATTGAACTTGAACATGAAAACTACTTCTTGGAAGTGACAAGGCATACCTGTAAGAACCCTCATGGCCCCGTGGACTTCGTTACTATCTCCCTTGGTGATCATCATCATGAGGAGACCAAAGAGGTCCGGCCAGGCTTCAGGCCAGTCCCAGTGAGCAATGGCTGAGATGGCATAGGCAACGCTGGAACGCACCTTGCTGATGGACTCTCCCAACCCTGCAGGAAGCCGGCTGCGAATATGTGCCTTGGCCTGGACAAGAAAGGAAGTTTGTGCTCTGATTTAAAATGATTGGTAAATTGAAAAACCCTACCCTTAAAATAAAATGAGGAAGAATGAGAAGACAAAATAATAGAACGACCCCACAAAATTTAATAATTGTATCACAATTGCATCAAAATGTACATATACATTTTTCGGTGACTCCGATCTGAACAACAAAATGTAATGTCTCTCAAACTGTTTTTGGTAGCAAAGGATTGAAAATACAGATGACAATAATTATGATTTTCATTATTCCGATATCGGTGATGATAATGATGGTCATGGTGATGATGGTGATGTTCTTTTAATGATGGTGATGGTGGTCACGATGATGATAACGATGCTCATGATAATGATGCTGCTGGCGATGATGTTGGCAATGATAGTGGTGTGACGAAATAACAATGATGATGATGATGAGAAGGAGAAGGAGGAGGAGATGGAAGAGAAGGAGTATTGATGCTGAATTTTGTTAAATGTGACTCACTGCATCTGTAGCCACTGGTGGTCTAAACTTCTCTGAATGCTGGGACCAGTGAGCCTCAACATACTGCTTCAAGATGAGCGATGACAACTGCATTCAAAAGAAAATTACAACAATTAGAATTACAACCTCAATGAAATACCTCCAAAAGTAGACATAAAGTACTCACATGTACATGTTTTCCTGCACTATTTACTGAAATTATTTGGCTTCTTTCTTACTTCATTTTAAATGCGAAGATACATATTTGTTATAAACAATGTGCTTCTTGCTTCTTTTACATATATTACAATTGTAACTCATAATTATCATAAAGAAATGAGCAAAATTTTGTGAAGGTTTTAATAACATGGTGATGATAAAACATGCACAAAATGTTTGTTATTTAAAATGCCAAAAAAGGTTTCTAAGGTGGGTTCCTCTATTTTTTTAATAGAAAGAATAAAGGTCATAAAATAAAACTTAATCTAGAACCAACCATTCTAGTCCCTAATTTAGCTATCAACAATTCAACATCCTAATATATTCCAAAAAAGTGCTACAAAGCTGTTTAAAATATCAATCTAAGGCTCGTTCATGTAACATTATACATACAAATGAAACAGAAGTTTCCAAAGCAAGACTGATATAAGAAAATCTCTAATAAAACATTTGCCTTTTAGTTGCTAGAAATATTGCATTTATATTTATTTACCTGTCGAATGGCAAGTGCACCATTCTTATCTAGTGTCAGCTCAGCAAGGAATACACCAAATTCTGAAGATGAAGGAAAATAAAAATAAAGTCAAATAAAGTGAACTTATAGCTTAAGAGAAGTTAAGGTACCAATAACAACCAAACCTCACAGTACAGCTGTGGGTAGCGGCGCAGCAAATATGAATATTCACGATAGAGCGCCGTTTGTTCGAAATTGTTGAGTTGCACGAGGTTCTTTTCTTTGATTCATGCATATTCAGCAATTTCAAGTGAACGACACTCTATATCATGAATATTCATATTTGCTGCGCCGCTACAGCGCATGCCGACTTTCTCTTCGCCATGTTGAATCAACGATACAACATGGATGAACCGTCGGGTTAGGATGAGAAATAACCTTTTTGCCCATCAATTGATCGAAGGCTTGAAGTTCTTCAAAATTAAATTATAATTCAAAGTGGTTGGAACAATGCCCAGCTACAGAGTAGTCGAAAAGCATGTCATTGTATGTCAAAATTGTAAATAGACTTCTACTTCTTCACATTTAAAAAAAAATGTGACCTAACCCACTGTTTGAATCGTTTTCCTGTACAACTACGAGCTCTAGTCTAGAGCTCCGACGCCTTCGTCCGAGCTCCCTGGACTAGATTCTAAGTGTTATCAATGAATTAAGTTAAGGGCCGATTTTTAGAGAATTCTGGTGATTTTTGTACAATGGTGTTTGCAAATTTTGAGAATCAAAATAGAATGTCTTCGATTTTTTGCCAACAAAGTATTAAGTAAGTTCTCTGACACATTGAGTGAACGAACACAGCATGACATTTATAGACACAACTTTCACTAACATCAAAATCAGCATTTGGGACTACACAATCAAACGAAGAGACTAAGGGCGTTTTATATAAATGATAACTAAGCTTATCATTGTGAATGTACTAACCTTCAGTTACTTCTAATAGTTTGAGCTGCTCTTCTCCTTGCTGCCTGATCTCTTGTTGAGGTGAAAGGATCGCTGTAAGGCTCTCAATCAAAGCATTTCTGACAGTGTTGCTCGCTTCTGCTTCGCTGACAGCCATGATGATTTTCGTGGGTTTCCGAAAGTCTTTTCGTTTCTATCTTTTGCGCGCGGCGCACGTCAATTTGCGCGCGCGATCCACCGTGATATCGGGGCTTTGGCTGTGCTGAAATACGAGTAGCTGACGACGAGTAGCCAAAATTCAGAAAATTTGTGAAGACATGAACCACAGTTTTATCATACAATAATGATAAATCAGATAAAGGCGTGAATAAAACAACAACAACAACTATAGTAGTTATTTAGAAACAAGAATAAGAACAGAAGAAGAAGAAGAAGAAGAGCTAGGAAGAAGAAGAAGAAGAACTTAAGAAGAAGAACAACAACAACAAGAACAGGAAGAACAACAAGAAGAAGAAGAGAAATAGAAGAAGAAGAAGAAGAAGAAGAAGAAGAAGAAGAAGAAGAAGAAGAAGAAGAAGAAGAAGAAGAAGAAGAAGAAGAAGAAGAAGAAGAAGAAGAAGAAGAAGAAGAAGAAGAAGAAGAAGAAGAAGAAGAAGAAGAAGAAGAAGAAGAAGAAGAAGAAGAAGAAGAAGAAGAAGAAGAAGAAGAAGAAGAAGAAGAAGAAGAAGAAGAAGAAGAAGAAGAAGAAGAAGAAGAAACGGAAGAAGCCAGGGAAAAAAAGAAGAAGAAGAAGTACTGAACAAGAAGAAGAAGCCGAAGGAGAAGAAGAAGAAGAAGAAAAAGAGGGAAACAAAATTGAATAGGGACAAGAAAAAAAAATTATTGCGATCGTTGTAAGAACATTTTTTTAATTGGGCCCCTCTTTGTAGTGTTGGACGCATTTTCTTGGACTTCTCTGAGGTAAATTTTCTTCTGCGACCATGCGTCACTCAAGTTTCTCTTAGCTTCATGTTTATATAACCCCTCCCCCTGAAAAAAAGAAGAAGCTAAATGTACTTTGATGCTTCATTGCAGCCCAAAGTATAACCAATTAAACCCAAAATACTATATTTCTAGACGACGTTTGCTTCGCTTTATTTCGATACTCAACATAATGGTAGGCCTATACTTCAGTGTCATTATTTGCCTATCCAATAAATTGGTTAACTCTAAAGAGCACTATATAGGTTAGCAGTTTGATGGCTAATTAAAGAATATGGAATTTAGGGACAATATCTCATATCGTGAATTTTCATGGTAGTTTGGGGTCTGCTTAGTAGATTGTGTTCGAAAAATTAGTGTTGTCTAGGAAGTTAAAAGTAATACAAAGTGTTGGTAATGGTATGGGGTCATGAATTTGGTTCAAATGAACATATTGGAAGCATACGGGATCTTACAATATTCAGTGATCGTTGTCGCAGTTGAAATCGAGTCTAAAGTTATAAAATTATAAATAATAAACTCTTCATGTTGCATAGCTCCCTCTCAAGGTCAAAATATTATTTAAGCTATATATAAAACAATGTTTCTTGACTAAAATCGACCGATTAGCTATTCCGGTTTGGAAATTATATATCACAACACATTCTGAGATTTTCATGGTCGCAGCTACCTTTGTACGGCCGTAGGCGCTATTTGAATTTTATCAAAATTTACCGGGAGCACCGGTAAATGTTTATATTCAATTTTTCTCGAAAGCAGAAGTGTTTTAGGCAGGCGCGCCGGAAGCAGTTTCGGATTGGGGAGGGGGGAGGGGGGGGGGGGGGGGGAAACATTCCAGGGGGCTCACCTTCCAGGGGCAGTGACGTAATGAGAAAAAAAACGTTCGCCAAGGGGGGACGGCAGACGAAAAATCTGCATCACCAGTCTTACACGTTACATGCATGTCCCGCGGAACGTTTTTCAAAGTGGAGTATTAACAATCGGGTAGAGCGTAAATTGGCGTGGGGTCCAAGGCATATGACCCTCGGCATGGGGTCAAGGGGCTGAGCCCCGGAAGCTCAGGGGTTTTAGGTATTTAATTACGGTTAAATGAGCATCCAGGGGGCAGAGCCTCCGGAAGCTCAGGAGTTTTAGGTATTAAATTGCGGTCAGATGAGCATCCAGGGAACCGCCTTAGGGCCCTTGGTGGGGTCCGGGGGCGGATCCCCCGTATAAGCTCTGGGGTTTTAGGCATTTAATTACGGTCAGATGAGCATTTTTTATACCTTATTTGTGACATTGGCAGGTCACTTATTTTTTCTCTCCGTCTTTCTTTCTTTTTCTCTTTAACATAAAAAGGGAGGGGGGGGGGGGGGGAGGCTCGAGCCCAGCCACTTCGCAGACCATGACATAAAGGCTTCTAAATAAGCGTATTTTTCGCAAAAAAAATGGAGAAAAAATACCGGAAAATCCTGTCATAACAGCAATATTTGTAAATCACTGGTATCGAATAAGAAATATACCACCCCCCCCCCATCAGTACGCCAGCGTTCAGGGGCTCATGTCTTCTCCCCCCTATAACAAAAAAAACAGACACGCTTTCCCATTCTCGCACAATATGTCCACGATATGCGCGTATCCCGACTATAAAGACCTACATTGATAAATACCGTATAGGTGGCATGCGCAATGTTTATGAAATTTAATTCCTGTGAACTTTCCTTTTCTTTGAATGGAATTGTATATGTGATTTAATTCAGGTTTTTATTATTGTTATGTTCTTTTGGGTTAAAAATACAAACCATGTTTACTCCTTTATTTATTTATTTGTTTTTTTGGAGGGGGGAGGGGCGTTTTTCAGGGGCAAAAATGCGTTTTGCCCCCACACTTTTTTGATTGGGGCCCTGCCACCCCCCACTTCTGGCGCCTATGGTTTTAGGGGCAACATTTTCTAGTGCTTATAATACATCCACAGGGGCATCCAAAAATATAAAAATTGTAAAGAATCAATATCTACCCAATTTTCATAATTTCCCAAAACATGGATACGTGACGTTTGTTTCAATAAGGTTTATATTTCTATATACATATATGTACATTAACATTACAGAGTGTCATTTCCTTTTTTGCTTCGAATAAAACAAAATATGTGTCAGAAGTGGGATTCGAACCCACGCCTCCATACAGAGACCAGAACACCCATAGATCATCTCTATTACGAGATAAGGTAATCAACCTTGAGTCTGGCGCCTTAGACCGCTCGGCCATCCTGACAACTCGAACTACAGTGCGATTTTATAATATATAAATTAAATGTCAAAGGGAAATAACTTCTCCTTCAGATAGCTCAAAAGTTGTTTTTATTTATGTAATTATTTTCATTTATAGATGTTTGAAGGTGTATTTATGCATTAATCCTGCTTCAAAACGTTAAAATATCTGATACTTGATGTACAAAATAATTGGAATAGTTCATTCTTTCACCGGGTAGGTAAACCTCACTTAGACTCTAGAGGGTCTAGTCTATGAACTGAACGTCAGTCAGTGAATAAACTCGAAGTCAAAGAAGTAAACCAATTGAGTTTATACGAATTATATATCAGATTAATTTACAAACAAATGGAAAAGACAGATCTACCAAAGTAAGGTTTTCAAAAGTAACTAATTTGCTTTCCCCTCAATATATAGTGTAACTGGCGAATCGAACGTAAACAGTCAAAACTAAAAGTGCACGTGTGAAATCAGAACTGTACCCGTAGTCTATATAACCGAACGTTAATACATTTAGTTCGCTTACCAGTTGAGTGTGGGCACAGCATGTTTGCATCCATCAAATTCCATCTACAAATTAAGGCTTAATTTTAAAGTCTATGATTTATCACGCATGTGTACGAGTTCGCGAAAGAGACCGCTAGCTAAGTTTGACAAATTTGGACATTACAGTGAGTTTGAGACCTTGATTTCGAAGCAAAATAATGTTATTATTTAGATAGTGTCTATTCTTTATAAATTTTTGTAATTTTTCATCAGCAAAAATATGTTTATGTATTTTCTAGAATAAGAAATGAGGTGGAATTAAAATATTAATTAGACTATTATGTGGCCCCATCCGTTGAACATGGTGTGTTCTTCCTACTTAAACTTGGCTTGGCCTGGACTAGTGCACTCATAGTACATCATAGGTGCATTACTATCCTGGCTGTTTATTAAAAGCTATGCTATTAATTCTCAACATTTCAAACACCACTGTACAAAACTCAACTGGTTTCACTTAAAATCTGTTCTGTAGTGACGATTGATGACACCTAAATAGCAGTAAAATACAATTTTTTTCAACTTTCCGATGGCGATGTTAGAAAGAATAATTTAAAAATTCAAATTGTTGGTCCACTGTCAAACAAACTTGCCGATCAGCCACATCGGCATGGCCATGATTGTGTGCATCTGTGTGTTATGAGTATAGAGTAAAGGAGCCCGTAATCGGCCAGCTCCCGTTTTCGGCCGATTGGTTGGATACAAGGTAAAATCACTCTAAAATACATCGCATAATAGCATAACACATATCCCACACATACCATACCATGCCAGTGTCACTGAAGAACCACATTTGCAATGGAAAATATATCCTAAAATATCACATTTTAGCGATGTAATCGCCGGTCCCGCTACCCAAATCTGAAAAATCGAGTATCTTACGCGTGTCTGTAAGAAATATGGGTACCATAAAATGAGCTTTATTTCAAGTATTTTTCAGATTTAAAGCCCGATTTTGTGCTAGTCGCAAGCTCAAAAGTATCCCATAGGAAAGAAATGAGCCTGCCGCATACTCCTGCGACGGACTTGCCGCAGATCTGTAGCAGACCTGCCGCAGACAGTCATCTTTTTCACATGCAAATTAGTTTTGCCGCAGACTTGCCGCAGACTTGCTGCATACTCTTTCAGTATGATGAAGAGTCTGCGGCAGGTCTGCCGCAGACTTGCCGCATACTCTTTCAGTATGATGAAGAGTCTGCGGCAGGTCTGCCGCAGACTTGCTGCAGACCTGCCGCAGACTCCTCGTCATGAATATTCATATCTCATATAGACCTGCTGCAGACCTGCTGCATACTCTTTCATATCCAGTACGTGGCAATAAAGTATGCATGTAGAAGAACCAGTGATAAACTGATTGATACTTCACAATCAATTTTGGCAATATCGATATTACCAATTAGGTAATACCAATATATATCGATATCACCAATTAGGTATATTCTATTCTCAATTGTATTAACTTCATCACATTGATCATTTGAAGCGTATTCAAGAGTAACATTTAAAGTGACACAGGCTCGTACACATATATATACTAAATATGTATATTGTTTCTTGGTTAGTAATCATAGTTTCTTGGTTAGTAATCAATATATCTATTGCTTAAACGTGAATGTAATTGTAACATGATCAGACAAAATAATCTATTGGTTAATAATGGCAAAAGGAAAATAGAAATCACAAAAATGATGTGCATTGTCTTAAATTGCTTAACAAATCATGATAAATGTATTTTTCTGTCACACGTGTAAAGTAATAATGAATATGCATGAGATGATTGGTTTCAATTGGCCCTATTAGACTTTAATGGGATTTCCTGTGGCAGACCTGCCGCAGACTGTTCCTGTGGCGTACTGGTATGCGGCAAGTCTGGAGCAAAGTTTCGCCCTGCCGCAGATCTGCCGCAGACTGTTTCTGTGGCATACTAGTATGCGGCAAGTCTGGAGCAAAGTTTCATCCTGCCGCAGATCTGCTGCAGACTGTTCCTGTGGCATACTAGTATGCGGCAAGTCTGCAGCAAAATTTCATCCTGCCGCAGATCTGCCGCAGACTGTTCCTGTGGCATACTAGTATGCGGCAAGTCTGCAGCAAAATTTCATCCTGCCGCAGATCTGCCGCAGACTGTTCCTGTGGCATACTGGTATGCGGCAAGTCTGCAGCAAAATTTCTTTCTGCCGCATACTTCGACATACTCTTTGCCGCAGACTAAAAGTATGCGGCAGGTCTGCGGCAGATCTGCGGTAGGTCTGCGGCAGGTCTGCGGCATACTTTTCAATTTCCTATGGGATGTCATCGCATGTATTAAATCAATGCAGCCGCACACCGCGACGCACACACGATATCTCTATCTAATTCAGATTCCAACTTCCGATCACCGCTGTGCCCGTCTTCTGCCAGGCGAGCACCAGGGAGCTCCGGCGTGGGATACCTGCTCCGCCCGCTTGTGCTGTACATCAGCGCGGAAACGCACGGCGCGCGCGAGCGCTTCCTATTGACTTTGTACATGCGGCCGTAAACTGAAACGCTCGGCCGATAACGGGCTCCAAAACAGTGAAAATTGAAATGGATATTGTCATAGCAATTCGTGATTTTTTTCTGGGATTCTTTTTTTGTGTAAATAATAATAATATTTGCTTCATGATTTGAACAAGAAATGATAATAAATAGGAAGTAAAGAGTCCTAAAAATAGGATTTTGTCTTAAGTGGCCGAAAACGGGCTACTTTACTCTATTTACTATTCATGTATTCAAATGCTGCCTATTAACACGTAGACTAGTGCAGTGCTAGAGGTCAATACGCATTAGCATTGACTCTCTTAGACAGAAATAACTGTCTGATATGGGTCATTTCTTTAATTTATAAAACTGAAATTTGGGGCCTGTCACCACGAAATGAGTCCATTTGGTCAAAAATTTTATTCCTGTTTTTAAGTATTATATGAATCTACATTAAGTAAGCTTTAAATTAAGGGGTCACACATTAAAATTGATAAATTATATCCAGAAATATGAACAAAAACCTAATTGGACTTTATAACAATGGAATTACCCAGTTTTGAGATAATTAGGTGTAAAGTTAATGATGCGTAACATATTATAGTCTGGTCAACAACAACATAGCAACAACACACTTCCCATCATTCGATTTCAATGAAACTTTTAACAAACAAAGAAATAATAAGTCGATTTTTGGAAAAATCTTAAATGTGGTAGGTGGGTCAATTTTCAGTACATACACACTATACATCGCTATTACTACGATTGAGCCTAATGCGACACTAGACTCATTTCGTGGTGACTGGCCCCATTTGTTGACATTCCCCATATACAGACGGTACTCTAGAGGTCTCGTACCGAGGAGGTAATCTGGCCAATTACTCATACCACTTTCTGACAGAAAATTTCTTCCCCGATAAAAATATGAATATTTTTATCCTATTTACATTTATGCATGTTTATATTTCAAAATGCGAAATTTACAGACTTACTTATATGGGTTATCCAATTTTTTTCTCCGAACCGTGAAACGTACCGTTCATCCATTCAAACTTGTAATCTATGACATCACCCGGCCGATATATTTCCGGGTCAACCCCCGGGTCAACCCCCGGGTCAACCCCCGGCCCCCCTACTCAGTGTTATTTAGGGTACGCATATGCGTGTTCCAAGCGACCCCCCCTTTTCAGAAAAAGTCTGGTGTGTAAAGTCAATACGAGTCGACCTTTTTCTTTCGTTATACAAGACTTTTTCAGCAAAAGTACGGTGTGTAAAGTCAATACGGGTTGACATTTTTCTTTCATTACGAAAAGGACATTTTGGTAACAAGCATGGGGTCCATCCATTCTCGGAGTGGGGGGGGGGGGGGGTCGGGGGTCAACCTACCAAAACATAGCGAATGGCCAATCAGAGCACTCGTTTCGTATTGGGTTTATGAATATTCATATATCACTGGGTTGACTCGTACGTAGCTATTGGACGTTCGAAAAGAAAAAATGAATATTCATCAACTAAAACCAAGATGGATGACAACGAATCTTGGCGACTACAAGACTTTCTCGGATTAATTATTAATTTAGGATCTAAATGAGCAAGCTATCGTAAGTCAAATTAGATATTTCTGTGTTATTTTTTATATTTTAATATAATTATTGTAATATTGCAGCAAAAGTGCATTTATGAGGATGTAAAGAGTGAAAATCTTGTTGCATATCTCATTCATCACGGTCCGGCCGAACCAAACCATTTGTTCCACTCAGTCCCCATAGGACGATCTTCAGTCTATATATAGAGGCGGTAAGAGGAGCCAGATGCAATCTCAGGAGAACAACCGTCGATATCAGGGACTGAAGCTTTCGGTCTATGACTCTCTATGCTTTGCTGGAGTGAACTATTGTGGCGCTAGTGCACACATAGCACGAAGAACTTTACATTTAGCGCATGCGTAGATCGCTCATCCCATCTCAGCCTTATTTTCATAAGTTGGCGCCTGGCCTAGCCGTCATGGGCCCATCAGATTGGCTATCGCTGTTCTCTTACTCACTCAATGCTATAAGATAGTTGTGCGAGGAGCAAGCTTGCGATTTTCCGTTTTTTCAATACCAAAATTATGATATTTCAGTCAAACCCTCTATTTTTAAAAATACCTTTCTCTATTTGATTAAATTTGAAGATGGCAGATTCAACTACCGGTAAGCGAGATGCTGCCAAACTTGAAGACGAATCTCAGGAAATAGGATCCTCCGATTCCAAGAAGAGGCCTAGATCAGAGGATCACGTAAGCAGCAGTTGCACAGATTCTATGAGAGGAGTTGTTACTTCTGGGCCTGACTGCGAGGTTGCATCCTCTTCATCTCAATCGTCAAAGCCTGTGAGCAGTGCAGAGTATGAAGCAATGTCCTCTTGCTCCACATCATCATCCTCCGGGATGCAGTCTATGGGTTGCCTAGCAACAGTGCCTCCTGACACGATGACATACAAAGCTGAGAGCTCAGTAGAAGTTGTGCATCAAGAAGGAATGGAAGAAGTAGCAGTTAAGGAATCATCTGAAGAAGACCAAGCTGGAGGAGCAGGAGACGGACAAGAAACTCCATCAAGTGACAGGTCACAGAAGAAGCAAGTTCTTGTTGGACTGAAAGAGACAGATGTAGGCATTATAGAGTATATGTCTGATCATGAAGGTGTTCCAGGAATTATTAAACAGAGGTAAGTCATGAATGTAATTTGTATCTTTTTCTTTGTCATATTTGTCAACTGTTTTGTGAATGTTCTCTTTCTTTTCACATTTGTCAACTGATTCATGATTGTTCTCTTTCTTGTTACATTTGCCATTTTAACATAAAAGTGAACATGAAACATAAAAGTTCACTGCTGAAGTTTTACTTTTTACTTTTTATGCCTCCGCCACCGAAGGTGGTGCCGGAGGCATCATGTTTTCGGGTTGTCCGTCCGTACGTCCGTACGTCCGTACGTCCGTCCGTACGTCCGTCCGTACGTCCCGTTTGACCGTTATCACAATATCTCAAGAACCATTTAAGATTTAAACTTAAGACTCGGGAATAGTATTTATCACCATAGGAAGACGATCTGATTAGATTTTGGAGTACGTAGGTCAAAGGTCACAGGTCACAGAGGTCAACTTATGAAATTCCTTGTATTGAGTTTGTTAGCGCGATATCTCAAGAACCATTTGAGATTTAAACTTCAAACTTAAGGATAGTATGTATCACCATAGGAAGACGATCTGATTAGATTTTGGAGCACGTATGTCAAAGGTCAAGGGTCACAGAGGTCAACTTATGAAATTCCATACATTGAGATTGTTATCATGATATCTCAAGAACCACTGGAGATTTAAACTTCAAACTTAGTGATAGTGTGTATCACTATTGCAAAACAATCTGATTACATTTTGGAGCACGTAGGTCAGAGGTCAAGGGTCATAGAGGTCAACTTATGAAATTCCATACATTGAGATTGTTATCATGATATCTCAAGAACCACTGGAGATTTAAACTTCAAACTTAGTGATAGTGTGTATCACTATTGGAAAACAATCTGATTACATTTTGGAGCACGTAGGTCAAAGGTCAAGGGTCATAGAGGTCAACTTATGAAATTCCATACATTGAGATTGTTATCATGATATCTCAAGAACCACTGGAGATGTAAAAACTTCAAACTTAAGGATAGTATGTATCACCATAGGAAGACGATCTGATTAGATTTTGGAGCACGTAGGTCAAAGGTCAAGGGTCACAGAGGTCAACTTATGAAATTCCATACATTGAGATTGTTATCATAATATCTCAAGAACCACTGGAGATTTAAACTTCAAACTTAATGATAGTGTGTATCACCATAGGAAGACAATCTGATTAGATTTTGGAGCACGTAGGTCAAAGGTTAAGGGTCACAGAGGTCAACTTATGAAATTCCATACATTGAGATAGTTATCGCGATATCTCAAGAACCACTGGAGAATTTTCACTTCAAACTTAATGATAGTATGTATCACCATATCATAATATCTCAAGAACCACTGGAGATTTAAACTTCAAACTTAATGATAGTGTGTATCACCATAGGAAGACAATCTGATTAGATTTTGGAGCACGTAGGTCAAAGGTCAAGGGTCACAGAGGTCAACTTATGAAATTCCATACATTGAGATTGTTATCATGATATCTCAAGAACCACTGGAGATTTAAACTCCAAACTTGTTTAAATTGCTCTATGGCGGAGGCATCATTTTCGACTGCGCGCAGTCAAAATTCCATCTAGTTTTTTTATAAATGCCCTAAACTGAATCTTTAAAAGTTGCAAATTTACGTTCCTTTTGGACATTTTTCTAATTGATTTTCAAATGTCGGCTATAAAAAAAAAAAAAAATTATGTTGTAGTTTTAACAGTTGCAGATAAACATAATTTGTTCCTCATGGTTGGCATTTTAGTAATCATCCAGCCATATACTAGCAAAACCAGTGAGGGCTGCATTGTAATGACATATTATGGAAGTTTATTCACAGTAATAAATGTGTAAATCGGTTGAGATTACTGCCATTTTCTGCCTGTCATTTCTATGCCAGTGATAATTTTCTACTGTAAGGAACAAACAACTACACATGCCATTGTCATCTTATAATAGTACTTGTAACAGATATGTCTTTTATTTATTTTACAGGTACCGAGATTTTCTTGTACATGAGATAGATGAGCAGGGTCAGATTGTTCGACTCACTGATACAAAAATCCCAGAGAAAAAGTCAATTGTAAGTTGACCAAAAGTGCACTCTCTCTTTCTCTTTCTTGTAACCTTCTCAAACTACTTTATATTTGTTACTTTTTACCCCTTTTTTCTTCTTCATTTGGGAGGGGGGGGGGTTGTCAAATAGAGGAGATTAAAGTATTAGTGTTGTTGCACATATATGCTATGATTTAGGAATGGGTTTTAAAGTTTTCCCAATTTCACATCATAAAGGAATTATTTACTAAGAAATCTACAGAAAGGATACATTTAGATTCTTCAATTCATTATTGTACTCAAGCCGTTTTGTACCGACAAACAACAACAAAAACAATAAAATAGCCTACAAAAGATAATTAAAGCACCCAGAAAACCATGGATATAATAAATCATTTGTAAATTTATTATTTGTTTATTCTCTCATCTCCCTCCAATTTCTTGTGAAGCTCCCGTTTGACCACAATGATGTTTTGACAAAAGAGGACCAAGAGAAGTTGTCTGCCCTAAATGTAGGGCAAGACAAGAAAGCTGAATATACTTTCCAGGTGAGAGGATTATTGATATATCATTTTAAATTCCTATCTCTTCCATATACACCCCTACATATGAATGGTAAAACGTTAAGCCTATTCAATGACGGTATCATTTGTACACAAAACTACACAAGTAAAAAAAAAAATTAATTTGAATTTTGAATATATATTCTTTGAATTTTGAATATATCTTCTTTGAATTTTTTGTTGTTGTATGTACCTTTCAAAAGATACATTGACCATCAACTTGTTATGTAGCATTCATGTCATTAATTTCTGGATACTGTTCCTTGGTCCATGATCAATTCTGTAATATTTCTATTTGATATTTTACAACTTAGGTCACAGACGATAAAGAGCAGCGTACTAAAGTTCACCAAGCCATTAGGCACCTGTTCCCGAAGCTTGATAGCAACACAGTAGATGATGGGGACAAGAAAATGGTCAGGGTGGTCAAGAGTAGTGGAGGTAGGTCCATCTTGCAATCCTTTTTTTATTTTGTTTATTTCCATTCGTTCACTTAGCCACCTATCACGTAGTTTGACAGCAGCGAAGTGGAAGATCAGGTTTTTCTTCCGTGTTGTTCTGCCGATGGGCATGTCTCTACACATTAGAGCCCTCTGGTTAGTCCTTTCTCCATCCCTCTCTGATAAGTTAAGTCACCTTTTTAGTTTGGACATCTTTGTTCTTGGTGTGCCTCTTCTCTTTCTACTATCCATTAGTTTAGAAAATAATCAAAAGGTTGCTAATTGTTACCATGTTGGTGGATATATAAGTCCATCTGTTTTATTTAGACTCTTTGGGCTCTTGGCTGATGGTCATGAAGTTGGATGATTAGGAATAGAAAATATCATGGGATGGCTGTTCATGTGTGATGTTTAGAACCCTAGGCCACTAGTCTATGAGGCATTAGAATCCAGTGTAAGAAACTGTCCTTAGTATAAGATTTCAGACATTGAAACATGTTATGAATAAGTGTTTCTTTAAATGGGATGTCTCTGAACTTTGACTAGTGACGTTTTCTCGCAACATACCCTAATTCCCATTCACCCGTTTGTAAGACGGATAGCAAAGCTGAGGAAGAAGGGGCAGGGCTCTACTCTAACTATTTTTGTTGGGAGTCTGGATAACAGATATTTAGGTTTGTATTCATGAGCCCCATGTTTACAACTTTGATATATATAATGTATTAGGGGTTCACATTCAGATTTTGGGTAAAATGTGTTAATGTTGAACCCTGGCATGTGGATAAGATGATGGTGAAGCTTATCCAGATTAATTGGAGTCAAGTTTGAGCCCCTTTGCATAACAATTAGCATTTACCATTGATGATAACTTTGCCATTAATTGTGACTTCCGTGGAAACCTTAATTTGATGGGCTGTTGAGTGCTTTTGTCATAGTTGTTAATAATATTGATGGCAAAGTTACTGTCAGTGGTAAGTTTTAGGTGACAGGCCCCAGGTCCCTAAAATAATGATCTAGACCATAAGGTGACTACATGTAGGTACCTAACTGTTCTCCATCCCTGTTGCACATACTATGACATCATTCGGAAAAGAAGATGGGAATGGTTAACAAGGGTAATGAAAGTGAGTTTGTTTTTTTATTTCTATCAGTGAAAATATTTAGGATGATTGCGGGTGGTGGAGGGAGGGGGGGGGGGGGGTATAATGAAGGTTGACAACAGGAATGATGGTACTAAGTCCACTTTTTCTTCAACTCAAAGGTGGTTATGCTATATTTCTCTACTGGAAATCTTCAAATATCCACAATTTTGATGTCGCTAGTCATATGACCACTCTGGTCCTCTTCTCTTTCACAGTGAATTGACCTCATTGAAATTTCATTTCTAATCTTACTGCAGTCTTCATTGGTCTCAGTTAGGTTGTAAGGTCTGTGATGATGGCTGTAGGATAGATGACTGGCAGCTATGCTATCATGGGTGAAGATGCGTGCACAGATTGGTTTTAAATTGCTGAGTTGAAATTTGAAAGGAGATATACAGTACAGATGAGAAAAAAAGAAACATTCATTCTACATATTTATGTTCAAAGCATTATAATTCAGCTATGTTGCTTCAAAAAAGCTATGTCTAACTCCTTTGAGTCATAATTTAAAATATGTCAATATAAACTTATTAAAATGATTATGGTTCTTATGATACCGTAAATCATCAGATGTGCTGTTTGAGGTTTTTTTTGTATGACTAATTGGCCAGTATTGATTGATAGTAAGATTGCATTAAAGAATCTGTAGCCTGTTGGTCAAATGTTCTTGTAAGCACTGGTGATATTTTTGGATGAACAGAAACAAAGCGGAAGTAAATTCATTGCTTTTAGTTGATAATCCAAAGTAAGTGATTAGTGATGTAATATAATTCATAGCCAAATGGAATTGATTATTAATCACAGAAAGATCATGCATACTGATTGCCCTGTATACCTCAAGAAATTTGGTCTTCTGTCTAATTCTTGATGTTCCTTGCTTTACACATGGTTCCAGTTACTTCTTTTTTGTTCTCTTTTCATGAATGTATCAAACACAGAGAAAATGCAATCAAAAGATATGTCATCTTGAAGGTAGATTTTTTGTAATCAGTAACAATACATACATTTAGAATTCAAGATATTTACACCAAGTGTTACACATTGCATATTAGTAATTTTTGAAAGTTTATACACTGAAAAAAATTGTTATATTCATCATAGAAATGTGAGGAAGTTTGTCCAATCAAGAAATCCATTAAAGGATAAGTTTATCCTGCATGTGCACATGTTGTCAGTGCAATTTATTGTTTTTTTGTTGTTGTTGTTGACAACTTAACTATTTGTTGACAACTTTGATAAGGTGCTGGCATTCAAGGAATTCCTAGCAGGATTTCATTTACATCAACTGGGGGGAGAGTGACAAATGCAGATTCAAATCTTGCCAAAGGACATTGGTGCCCCAGTGGGACTCGAACCTCAAACCATGTGATCCACAGTCTGTGACGTATCCACTAGACCATGACATCTTTACTATTTGTTGACAACTTTAAAGTACTTGTTCTCAAAGAATCATTTCATTACTACTTGAAACATTTCATTATTACTCCAGATAACCATTTATAATTTTAACTATTTTCATATGAGAGTAAATTTTATAGGTTGGTAAATTCCCCATGTTTATTTATATATGTACACAATATAACATTTTATTATTGTTAACATAATAATTATGGATAAAAGATCATGGTTATACATGGAAAGCTAATTTGAAATATGTATTTGTAGGCAATACAGTAGCTTTTGGATGGTACATTATGTACAAAACTTCTTAATGAGTCTGCTTGTTCAGAGCCAGAATTAGTCATGAATTAGTTACATATGAAACAATTTATATTGGTACACCCACATTTCTATCAAGAAAGAAGAAAATATTTCAAGGAATAAGCATGAATATTTGATGTACACTGTACAGTTCTATGCATCAGCAATATTTTTCAGTTTTAAATACCGGGTAATTTTATCAGCATTTCAGACATTTTATCAACCAAGGGTTTAATCATTAAAATGTCATGTTTATATGTGTTTGTAAATAAAGTAGGCTTCCTTCTGTTTCTGAAGTCAGTTTTAAATAAAGTTATGAGTTGGAATATACATATAGGTGCCATAGCACAGCTTCTACTCCACTGTTTTGGATAAACATGAAATTGGGCATGATGCAAATTAAATCAGCTCTTTATACTGTGTTTCCATAAAATTCTTGGATCCTTTTTTATTCTGATCTAAAAGAATATCCAGGTGATATCTTTTATTCACATATGCTGACTTTTAGTTCATATACTGGTCTCTATACCAATGGTTTTATCCCTTTTAGAGGTTGGCTTTCAATCTGATTCATATCAATTTTGTGAATATGTATGGATGTTTCATGGACTGTAGATGGACTGTTGCTTCCTGTTCTTCTCCTGCTCCAACCAGAAGACTCCATCTGAGAAGATGTATTCTGCTTAGGGCAACAGCATCGCTTGATCAAGCTCTTGAAACCATCTCGGAAAGCCTGATGTGAGATGCTGTAGATGATGCAGTTGAGGAAGCTGTTACTGATTCCAAGATACAAGGTTCCATTGTAAAGTCCTTGAGGGATATCAGCAAGAGCAAGGTAGCGGATGAAACTAGATGCTACGTAGGGCAACCAGGTGATGTAGAAGGCACTCATGATGGCCAGGCCGATCTTGGCCATGAGTTTCTCCTGTTGCTTCTGGTTAGCAATCTGTTGCGGAGAGCCCTTGTACGTGCTTCCAGTGGTTTGCAGCCAGCGTTGCCTAGCAACCAGGGTGTGGATGATGCGGATGTAGCAGATAATGGATACCAGGAGGTTTGGGATGATTAAGATGGAGATGAGAAAAAATCCAAAAGAGATGTTGTACCGCCAGAAGAGAGGACAGCTTCCCTGGATGTCGATGTCCCTGCCCCAGTTGAAGAATGCCGGCAAGAAGACAAGACCACACAGCACCCAGACCATGATGACACAGATGCGAGTCCGCTTGTAGGTCACAAAGGCGCGGTAGTTGACTGGATTCTGGATGGCTGTGTAGCGTTCCACACTGATGCAGGTCAGGGTCGTGATGCTAACCAGGACTACCACAAGCAGGAGGTATCCGATCAGCTCGCATGTCCAAAGGCCGTATGGCCATCCTCCTGCGAATCCTCCTGCATAAGTCACACCTATGTTGAGCGCGCAGTTGACTCCCACCCAAAGGTCAGCGTACGCCAGAGACTTGATGAAGACACTGATGGGTACATGCAGTGCTGGGGTCAAATGATGCACCAGCAGAACACCAAGGTTGCACGCAATGATAACTATCGCCATGACAACAAGAAAAGATACTTGAGAGGTTGAGATGACATATTGGTATCCAGTTTGATTGTCATTGGCTGTTACATTGAGATCCAATGTGGTGAGATTGGTATCCTCCATGATTGGGGTACTTCAATTCTTGAGTTTTGAAATAACTTAAAGAAGTTGAAATTCCTGCTCTTCTTATAATGGTAGGCAGATTATCTGTGGAAAGAGAAATACAGAAAATAGCTGTTGAGGCATGTTCAATAAATAGTTTTGCCATGTAAGATTAGGAGATGGTGTTCATTAAGTATAATAAGGAAAAAGGAAAGAGTAAGTTTTGCACAGATTGCCTGATTTATCTTTTATACTCATCGTTCTAATTGAGTTTCAGTTTTATTTTTTTGCCTGTAAATGTAACTTATCTTCCTGTACCCCACTTTATTTCAGTGGAGATATTGCTGATTTTTAGAAAAGAGACACTTCCAGGAAATGAACCTCAAACTTCAAGAAACTACATGAAAATGTCTGACATTCAAATTCAGCCAAAATTAAAAAGACTACAGTCAGATATCATTCTGAAAAGCAAAAGAAAACAAAAAACTTGAAATAAATGCACTACATGGGATGTAGGTCCTTATCCAAGAAAACCAGCATTTTATGAGGAACTTTTTCTCAAGTTCCCAGGAAACCATAAACAACTTCTGTTGATTTACAGAGCATGGCAGGTTGTATCAACAACCTCTAAAACATGTAAACAAACACCACAGTTACTAAATCATAGAACATGAGGTCTCATTGCCATGGGCCTGTTCTTTGCATTTTCAAATATAAAGTAGTAGCCTTTGTACTGAAAATTTTCAAGAATTTCATGTTTTTCCTTCTTGGCGAGGTATTTTGTTCTGTTGGCAACACTTATTATGTTATGCAGAGGCAGTGAATATAATGATCAAGTGAAAATGGACTTGCATAGGCCTGTTTTGTTCAATGTTTTTTTTGTTAATTTTCATATTTGCTGACTAATTCCATAGAATTGGTCATAGTAAAGAAATTGACATGATATACATGTATACTTGGGCTCTTCGTAAAGATGCAAATATGAAAAAAACAGATTCATTTTAGAAAGGTCCGCGGTTCAAGTCCCACCGCGGCACTAATGTCCTTTGGCAAGACATTGATCTACATTTGCTACTCTCCACCCAGGTGTTAAATGGGTACCTGGTGGATGCGAAAGCTAATGTGCTTAGATTAGCAAGTGTGCGCTTGTAAAAATGACGCCTGGCTGGAATGCTCCCCAGGGAGTGGAGAATGTGCATACATTGTGTGCGGGTAAGCCTGAATCCAATGACCGGGGTAATAATATATATCTGTAAAGCGCTTTGATAGGGCCTTCGGTCCGAAAAAGCGCTATATAAGAACTAGCTATTATTATTATTATTAAAATTGTATCTCACCCATGTATGTAGGTAGGTGATATATTTTTTTTGATTGGCTATTGAAGTTTGAAATCAATGTTTGTTTGCGGCACGAATAATAGCTCTAAACGTTCGTCCAGATATGATGTGGGAAACCCCTGCGAAAAAGCCGCCATATTTTTGATGTGCACCGGAAATGCAACTCTGCGCTACCTGGGTCCTACGTGCATTCACTAAGCTCTTTGTTATAAGATACAGAAATGTGACCCACTTTATATCATTTTAAAAAAAACCACAGCGGTTTTGCTGCATCAAATCTGAACCAAGCCAGAGAGGAAGTGACTCCAATTTCTCTTGCTTATTTACCAAAATGATTAGCAATGAAATGGATCCATAATTTAGTAAATGATCACTTAGCGCACATAAGGCCATGGCACATCCAATTCTTTGAAAACGATTCGTCTATATGTGCATCAGTAGGAGCCTGCTAATTAGCATCATGTGCTGAGAAGCATTATCCAGTGTTGGAGAGTGATGATTATTTGAACAAGATAAGTACAGACATGGCAATTAGTAAATAGTTGTGACAGGCGCGCAGTGTGCCATCCAATGAATGGAGGGAAATGTTTGGAATGATTCAGCTTCAGACTACAGGACAAATAATTCCTCCCAATTCTTGATATGTCGGGAAGGCCTCAGACAAGACGAAGCTATTGTTTTAACAAATGCAGCCTGTGATCTGTTGAAAAGTAGGGACAGTGCGTACATGTAAATGTACCGGTATTAGGACACATCTTTTGAAAAGATTTGCATTAAAATGTCCCTTTTGCAGCCAACCTCAAATTCTGTAGAACTTTGCAGGAATTATGAATATGTCATGTATGTCCTATCTGTGAAATTTAAATGTTAGCAGTGTCCTCATATTCAAATTATGCAAGGAAACCCATTTACTTGCTAGACTTTACTGTCAGACACTATTGAGTGACTGACTGGCTTTTTTTCTTCTTTGGTAATAACATACATGAAAAGAGTTGTAAAGGGTACATGAGCATTTGTCTACATCAATAACCAACTTCTTGTGATGGCCAAGATTAAACTGATTGAATCTTTGCGCAGCATAAAACGTATGACCATTTGGTACAATTGTCTGAAAATCAAGACTATTACTTACTGGCTCTATAGCCCTAAAGTCTATTTGACAACTAATAGTCATTTTTTTCCCACTTTTCAAGCCCCACCTTTTTTAGGGAAGTTCTAAATAAGTATTATCTTTCAAATGCAGTTGGAATTTAACTTTTTCGTTTTTTGGGGCCTGCAAATGGGACATAGTACCTTTAAAGGCTGGCATTTGGACTCTTCAAGTACCGTATTTGCCGGCGTAAAGGCCGCACCCCCGCATAGGCCGCACCCCCGATTTTGACATTAAAAAAAAAAAAAAAAAAAAAAAAAAAAAAAAATCATTTTGTTTTTGTTTTGTTGTTGTTGTTTTGCTGCCGAAAACCCTCGCGTGGAAGGACTTTCATTTAACATCGAGGTGCAGTTAAAGGCGCTGATTTGTGCTTGTAAACTTGTCACAAATAATAGTAACAATGTCGTTTTCAGAAGAATGTGTAAGATCATTAATGTGAATTAAAAACAATAAAGTACCTATGGTACCAGTGGTGTACCTTGTGGTACACCATTTGTTATAGAAAAAAATTTGAGGAACTATTATTATAAACTACATATTGAGATCTATTAGAAAGATTACTTTCAAACCAAGATGACAGTCAAATTTTAGTGTTGTTGTAGTTTCCGAGTGGTGAGTCAACACACTGATTACTGAGCTGGGAGACATTAGAAAGATTACTTTCAAACCAAGATGACAGTCAAATTTTAGTGTTGTTGTAGTTTCCGAGTGGTGAGTCAACACACTGATTACTGAGCTGGGAGACATTGCCAGGCATAGCGCCATAAATCGAAACTAAAAAAAAAAAAAAAAAAAAAAAAAAAAAAAAAAACCTTTTTTTACTCTTTCGCCGCATAGGCCGCACCCCGACTTTTTGATATTTTCTCTTCCAAAAATACTGCGGCCTATACGCCGGCAAATACGGTATACATATTCCAAATTTCCTAAATTACCTGTATACCAATAGGGATTCAGTAGAAATATAATTAACTTTGATAATAAGATCTTAGAAGAACAAGTCGAAGAGGTGTTCAGTCAGTGGAATCACACAAAGAATTTCAAAGTAATTAAAAATTCAAATGACGTACCAAACCCTTATGAAAGGCCAATGTCTAGCATGGTATTCATCTTTCAAAGTGAAAAGGTAATAGAAAGAAAGGAGAAAAGAAACAATATTTAATTGTCTGAAAGAATCTGTTTTCATTCTTTCATACCCTCCCAAATTGTCAGTCATGGCATAATAATAATACTCAGTTTTTATAAAGCGCTTATGGCACTGTTTTTTTTAACTTATACCAAATGTGTCCACAAATGGGTCCAAAATGAAATTATGTTTACTCACTTCAAACTTGTATTTTTAGGATCAGGACTAATCAGATTTTTGAGAAATGCAAATTCTGGACCTTAATCTATCTTCTTATTTATTCACCAGATATGAATACTTTGAGTTTTTACAATTTTATTGTGAACTATAGCATATCTAATAACTGTTATATAAAACTCATTTGCTATTAACCACACCTTTGAATATGTTGGGTCTTTAAGAATATGTTTCAGAGATTATTCATGCAAATTGTTGAGTTTCTATCTTGAAAATTACAGATTTTGTATCCCTTGAAAGTGAAAAATAGCTCTAAATTAGGGTTTTGACAATAAAAAGTTTTTATTTCAGTAGGTAAAACGCTGTTTTCTTAGGTCAAACTTATTTTATTATAACATTTGATGATATAAGGTAAATACATGCAAAAAAATTGGGAACAAGTGCATTGTTAACATTATAACTTTATTCAAGTTAATTGCTTTTCTTTAGGTATTATTGACCTCAGTTACATTAATTGTAACTTGCAGAAAAATACTTCTGTAACATTTATGGAAAAAATTGTGCAGTTTTAATTAGTTTAGCACATACATAATATACCAAGTTTGTCTTCATCGACCACTCAATTTATGTAAGGTATATTATTCATTTCAAGAACGTGTACCGGTAGATAAAAATGCTTATGTGATCTAACAGAGTGAAATATGAAGCTAATAGCAATTGTAGTCATCAAAACTCCTTAGAAAATTCACTTAGAAACATACTCTTTATTGCATGTTATGAACAACAGTGTGAAATGTATACTATGGTTTGTTTCGGATGTTACACAATGTTAACATTTCAATGAGATCATCATATTTTACAAACTCTACAATATAGATGTTTAATCAGCTTGCTAATGTTCTTTGCCTTCAACTATATAGTGTGTCATTCAATAATATCACTAACACATACATGTATGTAAGCAAAACATTGACAAATCTTTTTATAAATAAAACTATAAAAAAGTACCCCCAGTCATGTAAGTACGGTAATAAGAAATATGTGAATCCTAATTTATGTACATCTCGAGAATGAGACATTTTAGATGTATTTTAAAATTGTGTATGTTTTAGGTTACAATACTACTGTAGTAACAATCATCCCTTACCACTATTTGTATTAGGAAGCTGTTTCAAACGACAACATTTTTGAATGCTTTTAAATAAGTATTTATTTATTTATTTAATTGATGAATGATTGATGAATGAATGGATTGATTGGTTGGTCGGTTGGTTGGTTGATAGATCTTAAATTTTGCTGTGCCGATATCACAGG